CACAGAGGATGTCTTGTCCTGTACTCAACTGCTCACTAGCGCTTAGAAAATTAAACTCCGTCTTTCCCGTGTGGGCAACGCACAGGTTGTAGGAATAGGGCAAGGTGCCCTCGCTGTAGTGGGGAGGCATTCCGGGGCCAGATTTTGAACAGACAGCACCAGGCTGGAAGCAGCTTCTCATTGCGGAGCTGGAGGAGCGGCGCAGGCGCAGCGCGATGGCCAGGATCACCGTGAGCAGGAAGAGCACGGAGATGGCGGCCAAGGCCAGCACCAGGTAAAACTGCAGCTCGCCCTGAGGGTCCGAGGGCGCCGCGTGCTCACTCAGGTCCGGCGGCACCTCCTGCAGGCTGTCCGCGAAGACCAGGTGCAGCGTGGCGGTGGCAGACAGCGGCGGCTGGCCGCCATCGCGCACAGCCACCAGCAGGCGCTGGCGGGCCGCGTCCCTGTCGCCCAGGGCGCGCGCTGTGCGCACCTCGCCCGTGCGCAGCCCCAGGCTGAAGAGCCCGGGCTCGCTGGCCTGCAGCACGTGGTACGAGAGCCAGGCGTTGTGGCCAGAGTCGGCGTCCACCGCCACCACCTTGGTGACCAGGTAGCCGGGCTCGGCGGCGCGCGGCACCGTGTCGAAGAGCGCCGAGCCGTCGGGCGCCAGCGCCGGGTACAGCACGCGCGGCGCGTTGTCGTTGCGGTCGCCCACCAGCACGCGCACGCTCACGTTGGCGCTGAGTGCGGGCGAGCCCTGGTCGCGGGCCTGCAGCGTGAGGTGGAAGGCGCGCAGCTGCTCGTGGTCCAGGGCGCGCTGCGCGAACAGCACGCCGCTGTGTGCGCTCACTGACACGTAGGACGCCAGCGTTTGTGCCTCCAGGTCGCTGGCCACGATGGAGTAGGTGACCTGACCATTGGAGCCCAGATCCGGGTCGGAGGCGCTGACCTGCGCGATGGAGGCTCCTGGGGGATTGTTCTCTGCCACGTGGACCACGTAGGAGGGCTGCTGGAAGACAGGTGCGTTGTCGTTGACATCCCCAATGTGCACTGTGACGCCTGAGCTTGAGGAGAGTGGTGGCTTGCCTCTGTCAGTGGCCGTGATGGTGACATTGTACTCTGCAGTCCGTTCCCGGTCAAGCACTCCGTCTGTCACCAATTTGTATGAATTTTTGGACGAAGAGATTATCTTAAAAGGGACATCACCTTCTAATCCACAATTAACCTCCCCATTTTCCCCAGAATCCTTGTCAGATACTTTGATCAAAGCTATTAGTGCTCCAGGCACGGAGTCTTCCAGAATCATGTCCAGGACTGAATGGAACCTGACTTCTGGGCTGTTGTCATTTTCATCCTGAATTTTAATTTCAACTGTACATTGTGCAACCAATCCCCCACCATCTCTGCCTTCCACTACTAAGGAATACTCCTTGGTTTCTTCATAATCCAGCGACTGCCGAGTAGTCATTTCCCCACTCTTGGGATTCAGATCAAAGACTTGGCTAGTTCTCTGGAAGGAATATGTGATTTCTGCGTTGACGCCCTCGTCCTGGTCGCTGGCTGACACTTGCAGTACCAGGGTGCCCCGGGGCGAGTTTTCCCGAAGGCTGACCCTGTACACCTCCTGGGTGAACACAGGGGGGTTGTCGTTGGCGTCAGTGACCCTGATCCGCAGCTCAGTGCTTCCGCTTAGGGCCGGGTCTCCGCCGTCCCAGGCCGTCAGGACTAGCCGGTGCTCACTTTGTTCTTCCCGATCCAGGGATTTCTCCAGGACCAGTTCCGGGTACTTACTACCGTCTTCTTTCTCCTTATTTATCAAGGAGAAACTAGCACTAGGAGACAGCTGATAATTCTGTAGAGCGTTTAAGCCAATATCGGAGTCTTCTGCAGCTTCCAATATGAATCGTGCCCCTGGATGCGCAGACTCAATGATATGCAGCTCAAAGGAACTTTGGGTGAATTTGGGCGCGTGGTCATTAATGTCCTCAACTTCCACGTTCACGTCGTATAAGTTTAGCGGGTTTTCAGCCACAGCTTCCAGCTCCAGAGAGCAGGCAGGCTTCCTCCCGCAGAGCTGCTCCCTGTCCAGCCTGCCGCTCACCACCAGCTCCCCGCTCTCGGCGCGCACGCTCAGGTAAGGCTTCTCGGAACTCAGGCGCAGTTTGCGAGCAGCTACTCTGCGGACGCTGATGCCCAGGTCCCTGGCGAGGTGCCCCACCACCGTTCCCGCAGGCATCTCCTCGCGGATCCTGTAGCGGAGCTGCTCCGAGAGCGCCCGGCAGAACAAAGGCAGCAGCAGCAGCAGCAGCATGGCCAAAAGCAGCTGCCGCGGGTGTGCGCGACCCCTCGCCCCAGCGCCGCTCCCTTTTCCCATCCCTCCGCTCCCCTTGAGTTGCTCACCAGCCTGCGGACACCCGGCCACAGATCCCCTCAGTAGTGCAGCGATTCTCAGCTCCGAACGGGCTAGGCTTGCAAGTGCGGGTCAGAGATTATTCTTGTTCGGTTCAGGAAGCCTGGCAAAGGCACCGGCCCGGGGCTCTGCAGTGGGGCTGTCCTGGAAAGCCTGGAGCGGCTGCGCGAGCAGAGGGCGCGGGCTCCGCTCTCCACTTTGGCCAACAGCGGCGCCCAGAGTCCACACAGGGGAACTGCAGCCTCTGCTGATTGAGTTTAACCAGAGCAGTAACTAACTGTGGGTCTAATTAATGAATACTGTTTTGATGATCATGTATTTAATAACATATCATGCAGCGCTAACTCACGCATATCTTTTATTGTCTCCAATCTTTTACCAGTTATAAACTGCTTTTTAACGGCACAGCTACTGAACCTGGTTCATTCTTCACCATCTACAAGCATGTTGAATTCTAACGTTCAGTCACCTTTTGCCCTTGCACTGAATCAATGAGTAAGAGCAGATATTCTTCATTCACTCCACTGTCTATGAATTCACAAGTTCATCCTCTGTGTTCGCTGTAATATAGTGCAACAATTCTTGCTCCTCTTTTTTTGAGTTTCCTGATTCTGCCTCTGTTTCTGCAGGCATCGTGGCTGATTCCCATCACGCCCTCTGGAGAACACCAATACCTTGGACAATTGTTCTTTAAGTTGCACCAGTGTGTACCAACCCCCAGACATCTCTTCCTCACAATATCTACTCTCTCTTTATAAAAATCGTTCTTTACTCATCTGAGATCTTGAGGAAACACTCATCTCAGACAGGAAATATTCTCTCTGTCATTGAGCCACGAGGTGATATACCCTTCCAAGTCTTCCTCTTTCATGTCTCAAAGGTACATGGCTTATACCCTTCCAGTCATTGTACATAAATTCTTTCTTAAACACCACAGTATGAATCACATCTAACGTAGAAAGCCACAAAAGGGTGTTCCCAATTTCCCCAGCTCCATAGCTACATTATTCTTGGTATACTTTGAAATTAGAAAATGAGTTCATGGCATGCCTATTTACGTAGGAATATGGAAATTAGTGATATTTGACCTAACTTTCTAATTTATTTTTAAATATAGAAGGAAACTAGAGAACAGTTTTAGGAGTAGTGATTTGCTCACACTTTTAAAAGTTGTGGATTGTGGATAATATCACTGCCCCTTCCGACAATTCTTTACCTAATATGACAGAAAAGATAACTGTCACTTCTCTATATGCAACATAGAATGGAACTCTATGCAATTCTAGTGAGGTATGCACTTCAGTAATAGTAATTGACTTATCAAGGCTTCCACTTTCTATAACAAAAGAGGATATGGAGACAGGAGCTGTGGCCCACTGCATAAAGTTTTGTTTGGGAAATTTCCATCCTGAATGTAAGTGCCCTTGGAGTTGGGGTTTCTCTGCTTCTGATCCAGCTTCCTGCTAATGCAAGGAGAAGGCACATAAGATGGCTCAAGTTCTAGGGTACCTGACACACACATGAGACCTAGTGAAATTTTAGAGATACTGGCTTCAACCTGGCCCAGCATTGTTGGTTGCAGGCATTTGGAAGAGTACACCACCAGCTCATGGAAAATCTCTTTTTCTCTCTCCCTCCATCTCTCTAAAATGACTTGATTTATAATATTTTATGATATATTTTATAATGGACATTTAAAATTACATTTAAAAATCTTGCTGTAGATATTTGTTCTTTTTAATAAATACTTGTGGAACCGGCACAATGGTTCAGTGGCTAAATCCTGCTATGTACGCACTGGGATCCCGGGGATCCCAAATGTTGCCAGTTTATTTCTAGGCTACACCACTTCCATCCAATCCTTTTGAGGACTGGGAAAGCAACAGAAGATGGTTCAAAACCTTGACCCACTACAACTGCATGGGAGACTCAGAGAACGTTTCTTACTCCTGGCTTCAGATCAGCTCAGTTCCAGCCACTGTGGCCATTTGGGAAATAAATCAACCAAAACAAGATTTTTCTCTCTGTCTCTCATTCTTTGTGTTAATCTGACCTGACAATAAAAATAAATATATCATTAAAATATTTTAATTTCTTTTGAAAAACAGAGACAGAATAACTTCTACTCATTCAAAACATGTACATTTTTACAAAATGGATTTCAACAGTTTAAAATTACATTTTACTTATTATCTAATTGCTGATTTTCATTTTTGTTTTATGTGAAAAAATGGCCATTCTAGTCTCTAGATTGCATATGTCCACCTCTATGGCCCAAGTAACCACTGTGACAAACCTTTCACATTTGAAGACCAATTTTACCTCCCACCAAAACCACTGGACTACATTTTGAAATATTCTACAAAGTAATACAGTTTAGTTCAGAACCAGTGACAAGACAGATCTCAAAAAAGAGATCAAAAGCAGAGAAAATACCAAGAGTTTAGTTAAAGCCTCAAACTCTAAACACATTTATAAGATTGTGCTATGTGTTCAATAAAATAAAAGATTGTGGTTATAGAAACTTTTCTGCGCACACACATATAAATAATAATGTGTGACAGGGAATAATGATAAAAGTAAAACACAGAGTTTCACAGTATCATCACTAAAATAGACTGGAGACATTGCATGGTAAGCCTTTTCAGAGATCACCACAGTCTAATCTTCAAAACCCTGAGATCAGCGCAAACACAATGGAACTGCAAGAGGAAGAACTGAACTCACCTGAGCACAAGCAGCTTCATCTTTACATTCCTGAAAATCTACAGATGTCAACAAGGAGGCATTTTTCCCACAGCTCTCCTGGCTGATGAGTGTGTCTGCATAGTTGGGCTGAGGGAAGATGAGGTGACTCTTTCTGGAGTCTGTGGTCAGGGACACCTCATGTGAGTAGGTCTGCAGGAAAGCCTGTACCCCATCAATGCCCACCAAGTGTGAGGCTGGCATGCCTGACAACCTATCACCTGCAGAATGCAGGAGGCGGGAGTGGTGCCAGCGCCTCAGCCTGAGTGCCAGCAGCACAATCACAAAGGCCAGGAAGACACACGACACTGTAGCTACTGCCACCACCAGGTACAGAGTCAGGTCTGCCTCATCAGCTTCCACTGAAGGCTTGAGGTGGCCCAGATCAGCAAGTACAGCAGGGATGCTGTCAGCCACGGCCACTGTGAGTGTAACAGTGGCCGAGAGAGGCGGCTGCCCGTGGTCCTGGACGGCTACCACCAGGCTCTGCTTGAGTGCATCTCTGTCCAGCAGGGCCCGTGCTGTGCGCACCTCGCCCGTGTGCAGCCCCACAGAGAACAGCCCTGGCTCGCTGGCCTTGAGCAGCCGGTAGGACAGCCAGGCATTCTGGCCAGAGTCCCTGTCTACTGCCACCACCTTGGTCACCAGATAGCCAGGTTCTGCAGAGCGTGGTGCCAGCTCCACGCCTGTGGATCCATCGGTGGGGAGGGTGGGGTAGAGGATCTCAGGGGCATTGTCATTCTGGTCCAGCACGAAGATGGTGAGGGAGGCATTGCTGCTGAGAGGTGGGTCCCCACTGTCACTGGCTGTCACCCAGAGCTGCAGGTCTCGGAACTGCTCATAATCAAAGGATTGCAAGGCATACAGCACACCTGTGTCTGAGTTGATGGAGACAAAGGAAGAGAGAGGAGCACCCTGGATGGTGTCTTCAGCCAAGGAATAAGTAACTCTAGCGTTCTCATCATTATCAGGGTCAAGGGCACTCAGCATGAAGATGGAGGTGCCTCTGGGGTTGTTCTCTGGGAGGTAGACTGAGTAGGACGCTCGAGAGAAAGCAGGTGGATTGTCATTGATGTCAGCTACTTTCAGAGCGATGTGGATCTCTGTGGACAGGGCTGGGTTTCCTCTGTCTGTGGCCCTCACTGTGATGTTATACTCAGAGGCCTTTTCTCGGTCAAGAGTTTGGGCTGTTGTCAATCGATAATAATCGTCAACGGAGTTCTCCAATTTGAAAGGCAGACTGTTTGAGATGGAACAAACAACTTGGCCATTCTTCCCCGAGTCTCGGTCATGGGCGTTGAAAAGAACCACCACTGTTCCCTGGGGAGCATCTTCCCTCACTGGACTAAACAGAGACGCAATGGTCACTTCCGGTCTGTTGTCATTTACATCTTCCACAGAGATCAGCACTTTGGCACGCCCTTTTAGTCCCCCACCATCTTCAGCCTGTATTTCCATTTCATAGAAGGAACATTCTTCATAATCAAGGCTTTTTGCAATTGATATTTCTCCAGTAGTTTCATTAAGCACGAAAAAAGGGGATTGTTCCTCATTAATTTTCCAGAATTTATACACCACCTTCCCGTTGGCTCCCTCGTCTGGGTCGCTGGCTCTCACGGCAAGCAGCTGAGTGCCCTGGGGCACGTTCTCAGGCACTTTGACCCGGTAGGTCGGCTGAGCAAACACCGGGGCGTTGTCGTTTGTATCCAGCACGGTCACGCGGATGTGCGCGGTGCTGGAGCGCCGCGGCTCGCCGCCGTCCAGGGCGGTGAGGATCAGGTGGTGGACGGCCTCCTGCTCGCGGTCCAGGGCGCGCTCCAGCACCAGCTCGGGCCGGACAGCCCCATCGTCTCCAGTTTGCACATCCAGGGAGAAGTGCAGATTGGAACTGAGCTGATAACTTTGAAGGGAGTTCATGCCCACATCCGGGTCCACAGCCTCAGGCAGTGGATAACGCGCGCCAGGAGCAGCGATTTCATTAATTTTTACTTCCAGATTCTCAACTTGGAATTTCGGTTTATTATCATTGACATCAGTTATTTCTATTTCCACTCCGTAAAGCTTCACTTTGTCTTCAACCAAAACTTTCAGGCTCAGCACACACCGCGCGCTCTGGGCACAGAGCTCCTCGCGGTCTACCCTGCCCGCCGTGACCAAGCTGCCGCTGCGCGCGTTCAGAGCGAACAGCTGCGCCCTACCTCGGGACATTATGCGGACTCCGCGCTCCGCCAGCTCCCGCGGCTCCAGCCCCAGGTCCTTGGAGATATTCCCCACGAAGGAGCCCTTCTCCAACTCCTCGGGCATTGAGTAGCGGATCTGAGTCGCTCTGGCCTCTCCCAGTGTCCCCAGGAGCGCGCACAGCAGGACCAGTCTTCTGCCTTGCAGGCGCAAGTGTGGAGCTGCCATTGTTGCTTTGTTAGGGATTTTTATCAGAAGGCTGCGCATGCTTGCTGCCTCATTAGGCTCTTGCTTACCTCTTGCAGAGGGCCGGGACCTGTTTCCTCCTCAGGAGAAACCGGGTGCTCCACGTTCAGAGGTTGGATTTCTCTGCAGCTTGAAAGGCAGTTCTTGAGCTCTGTGGGGTTTGCGTACTGGCAGAGCTGACCATCGGAGGCTTCGCTTGCTGGGTTTTTCTTGGGGAACAGCGGCGCTCAGAGTCCTTTGGTGTTACTACATCGTGAATGCATGCAGCGTTTGCGCCTAGATGTCTGATAAATACTGTTCTAATTTTGCTTTTAGTTTTTTTTGAGTATTTTCTTGTGTTCATATTTCCAAAGCAAGGGGTCACTTTGGGCGTCTGAGTTTTAAGTGAAGTGAGACAATTTCTGCACTTTGAAATTAATTTCCTGTTATTGTTAGATTATTTCATTTTTGAAAGTATTTCTGCTGCCTTCTGGCATCTATATGCATATTATTTTGCTCCTAAATTACCCCTCATTTTTTTCTATTCATATTATTTTTTCAAAAATATATGATATGCAGTCTTTGGAGATATATATATATATATATATAAACATTTTAAAATTCCACACCTTTGTGTAAAACTATACCACATATTTTGATAAATATACAGATGCACTGTTCACTTTGGTATTATCTTATGAGATAATATATTTGAGGGCAATTGTTATATTAGGTTTTGAATTTTTTCCTCTTTCCAAGATAATTTAATCAGGAAATAGTTATTTTCTTACCCATTTGTGAATCTTAACTGGAGCAGATTTTTAAAATGTACACTCTGTCATTGTTTTCATTGTTCTGCTATTTCAAAATATTATACTGCTTTTGTGAACGCATAATCCTTGCACAATTTGGAAAGCAAGTGAGCAGGAAAAAGCAAGTTCATTGGTAACTCCACATCAGGAAAGCATGCAATATTGACTTGATCTTTAGCTTCTTGTTGTAAAGGGTGTTTAAGCTTGGGTCAAAATTTGAAAGAACATCAACTATAGAACAAAGCAGCGGTTCTGAACGGTAAGATCTACACAGGGAGTGTCACTGGAATAAGCTTGTATTATGAGAATCAATGTACCACAATCACTTGCTGAGGTGAACCAGTCCTACAAGTGAGCACACCATAATCACAGGGATGATGCAAAAACATCTAGTGCCTTACACACAGGGCTACAAATAAGAGGACAATGCCTTTCCCCTTTCTTCTTTGAAGATTCCACGACAAGTCCCAGACAACAGCAATTTCGTTTTTGTTAGCAAATTTATCCTCTGGCACTGATCAAAAAATTTATGCAAAACGAATGAAGCAACTAAATTGCTGACTTAGTTATTACGAATTCAGTGAACATCTCCTTCCCAACTCCTACGCCTCTATTGCATGATACACTAAACAAGGTAGTGTTTCATGTAGGTTGAGGGGAATCAAAGAATCCATGAGTAAATTACCTAAGAAGAAAGCAGCTCAAAATATGTAATAAAAACAAATAGAAACTACCAGTGCTACTAGTGAAGCAAGTACCTATTAGAAGTTTATAACCCTTGCGCTGGTCATGGTGGTCTACTGGCTAAAGTCCTCGCCTTGAATAAGCCACGATCGCATATGCGCCAGGATCCCATATGGGCACCAGTTCTAATTCAAGCAGCTCCACTTCCCATCCAGCTCCCTGCTTGTGGCCTGGGAAAGCAGTAGAGAAGGCCCAAAGCTTTGCCACCCTGCACCTGTGTGGGAGACCTGAAGGAAGTTCCTGGATTCTGACATCAGATAAAGAGCAGCACCAGCCCTTGTGGTCACTTAGGCAATGAATCATTAGATGGAAGATGTTCCTCTCTGTCTCTCCTATTCTCTGTATATCTGACTTTGCAATAAAACAAATAAATCTTAAAAAAGAAAGAAGTTTCTAATGTTTAAGGAAGAATTAAGGATGCTCTAAATTGAATGTTTATTTGCATATGAGAACTTCGTATAAAGGATGAAAAAATTTGTAAATGAGTTGTTTTGAAAAATTAAGGCAAAACAGTCCAAATGTTTGTCATAAAGTTAAACAGACATTCTCACAAGGATACAGCCATAAAACTACCTCCACTTAAGTCACACAATCACACACAATTTACCAATCTCCTGGACAATCAAACTTCCACCCTCTTCAAGTATAACTGCAATGACGCAAACTCACTAGACACAACAGGGTCATCTGTTCAATACAAATTCAGAAAATAAGATGGAAGATGGAAAGGAAGTATAATCATAAGTGAAACTCACCGGTGTTAGAATCTCGGGTTGGGAGGTCGGCTCGCTGGGATTGCTAAGAGGAAACAAGGACCCGGATGGGTCACCACAGAGGATGTCTTGTCCTGTACTCAACTGCTCACTAGCGCTTAGAAAATTAAACTCCGTCTTTCCCGTGTGGGCAACGCACAGGTTGTAGGAATAGGGCAGAGTGCCCTCGCTGTAGTGGGGAGGCATTCCGGGGCCAGATTTTGAACAGACAGCACCAGCCTGGAAGCAGCCTCCTATTGCGGAGCTGGAGGAGCGGCGCAGGCGCAGCGCGATGGCCAGGATCACCGTGAGCAGGAAGAGCACGGAGATGGCGGCCAAGGCCAGCACCAGGTAAAACTGCAGCTCGGCCTGAGGGTCCGAGGGCGCCGCGTGCTCACTCAGGTCCGGCGGCACCTCCTGCAGGCTGTCCGCGAAGACCAGGTGCAGCGTGGCGGTGGCAGACAGCGGCGGCTGGCCGCCATCGCGCACAGCCACCAGCAGGCGCTGGCGGGCCGCGTCCCTGTCGCCCAGGGCGCGCGCTGTGCGCACCTCGCCCGTGCGCAGCCCCAGGCTGAAGAGCCCGGGCTCGCTGGCCTGCAGCACGTGGTACGAGAGCCAGGCGTTGTGGCCAGAGTCGGCGTCCACCGCCACCACCTTGGTGACCAGGTAGCCGGGCTCGGCGGCGCGCGGCACCGTGTCGAAGAGCGCCGAGCCGTCGGGCGCCAGCGCCGGGTACAGCACGCGCGGCGCGTTGTCGTTGCGGTCGCCCACCAGCACGCGCACGCTCACGTTGGCGCTGAGTGCGGGCGAGCCCTGGTCGCGGGCCTGCAGCGTGAGGTGGAAGGCGCGCAGCTGCTCGTGGTCCAGGGCGCTGCGCGAACAGCACGCCGCTGTGTGCGCTCACTGACACGTAGGACGCCAGCGTTTGTGCCTCCAGGTCGCTGGCCACGATGGAGTAGGTGACCTGACCATTGGAGCCCAGATCCGGGTCGGAGGCGCTGACCTGCGCGATGGAGGCTCCTGGGGGATTGTTCTCTGCCACGTGGACCACGTAGGAGGGCTGCTGGAAGACAGGCGCGTTGTCGTTGACGTCAGCGATGTGCACTGTGACGCTGACACTGGAGGAGAGTGGTGGCTTGCCTCTGTCAGTGGCCGTGATGGTGACATTGTACTCTGCAGTCCGTTCCTGGTCAAGCCCTCCGTCTGTCACCAATTTGTATGAATTTTTGGACGAAGAGATTATCTTAAAAGGGACATCACCTTCTAATTCACAATTAACCTCCCCATTTTCCCCGGAATCCTTGTCAGATACTTTGATCAAAGCTATTAGTGCTCCAGGCACGGAGTCTTCCAGAATCATGTCCAGGACTGAGTGGAACCTGACTTCTGGGCTGTTGTCATTTTCATCCTGAATTTTGATTTCAACTGTACATTGTGCAACCATTCCCCCACCATCTCTGCCTTCCACTACTAGGGAATACTCCTTGGTTTCTTCATAGTCCAATGACTGCCGAGTAGTCATTTCCCCACTCTTGGGATTCAGATCAAAGACTTGGCTAGTTCTCTGGAAGGAATATGTGATTTCTGCGTTGACGCCCTCGTCCTGGTCGCTGGCTGACACTTGCAGTACCAGGGTGCCCCGGGGCGAGTTTTCCCGAAGGCTGACCCTGTACACCTCCTGGGTGAACACAGGGGGGTTGTCGTTGGCGTCAGTGACCCTGATCCGCAGCTCAGTGCTTCCGCTTAGGGCCGGGTCTCCGCCGTCCCAGGCCGTCAGGACTAGCCGGTGCTCACTTTGTTCTTCCCGATCCAGGGATTTCTCCAGGACCAGTTCCGGGTACTTACTACCGTCTTCTTTCTCCTTATTTATCAAGGAGAAACTAGCACTAGGAGACAGCTGATAATTCTGTAGAGCGTTTAAGCCAATATCGGAGTCTTCTGCAGCTTCCAATATGAATCGTGCCCCTGGATGCGCAGACTCACTGATTTGTAGCTCAAAGGAACTTTGGGTGAATTTGGGCGCGTGGTCATTAATGTCCTCAACTTCCACGTTCACGTCGTATAAGTTTAGCGGGTTTTCAGCCACAGCTTCCAGCTCCAGAGAGCAGGCAGGCTTCCTCCCGCAGAGCTGCTCCCTGTCCAGCCTGCCGCTCACCACCAGCTCCCCGCTCTCGGCGCGCACGCTCAGGTAAGGCTTCTCGGAACTCAGGCGCAGTTTGCGAGCAGCTACTCCGGGGACGCTGATGCCCAGGTCCCTGGCGAGGTGCCCCACCACCGTTCCCGCAGGCATCTCCTCGCGGATCCTGTAGCGGAGCTGCTCCGAGAGCGCCCGGCAGAACAAAGGCAGCAGCAGCAGCAGCAGCATGGCAAAAAGCAGCTGCCGCGGGTGTGCGCGACCCCTCGCCCCAGCGCTGCTCCCTTTTCCCATCCCTCCACTCCCTCTTGAGTTGCTCACCAGCTTGCGGACACCCGGCCACAGATCCCCTCAGTAGTGCAGCGATTCTCAGCTCCGAACGGGCTAGGCTTGCAAGTGCGGGACAGAGATAATTCTTGTTCGGTTCAGGAAGCCTGGCAAAGGCACCGGCCCGGGGCTCTGCAGTGGGGCTGTCCTGGAAAGCCTGGAGCGGCTGCGCGAGCAGAGGGCGCGGGCTCCGCTCTCCACTTTGGCCAACAGCGGCGCCCAGAGTCCACACAGGGGAACTGCAGCCTCTGCTGATTGAGTTTAACCAGAGCAGTAACTAATTGTGGGCCTAATTAATGAATACTGTTTTGATGATCATCTATTTAATAACATATCATCCAGTGCTATCTCAGGCATACCTTTTATTGCCTCCAACTTTTTACCAGTAATACATTGCTTTTTAAATGCGCTGCTACCATTCTGCAAACCTTGTGTACTTTTGACATTCGTTTAACTTTTGGCCTATACTGCAATGAGTTAGAGCAGATATCACTGACAGACTCCTGTATTAATTCACAAGTTCATCGTTTGTTTTGATTCTATATAGGCAATAATTCTTTCGTTTCGTTTGTTGGATTGCGCTGGTTTTCCCTCTATATCTCCAGGCATTATTGCTGTTTTCCATCACACCTAGTGGAATACATCAATACCTTGGACAATTATTCTATAAAATTGCAGCACTCTGTACCAACCCCCGGACACCTCTTCTTCCCAGTATCAACTCTGTCTTTATATATAAAATAGATCTTTACTCGTCTGACTTCTTGAATATATTCTCATCCCAGACAGGAAATATTCTCTCTGCGATTGAGCCGAGCGATGATAATCCATTCCAAGTCTTTTTCCTTCATGTCTCAAAGGTACATGGCTTATACCCTTCCAGTCATTGCACATCAATTCTTTCTTACATGGTACTGCAGTAATCGTATCTATCCCACAAAGAAGTGTTCCAATGGACTGCACTGTTTTCCTGTCTCCGTACCCACTTTATGTTGAACTTTGCAACAGGAAACTGTTTTTATGAGGTACATATTTACATAAACCCATGTGTCATATTTGGTCTTTCTACTACAATAGTTAAATTTAAAAGAAAATTAGAGAACAGTTTCAGAAATAGTACAAATGCATTTTTTTTTAAAAAAAACCAGGATGCTTCCTCACACTTTTAAATGTTGTGAATTGTGGATAACATAACTCTCCCCTCAGATGGCTGTGCACCACAACATGACAGAAAAGATAACTGTCACTTCTCTATATGCAACATAGAATGGAACTCTATGCAATTCTAGTGAGGTATACACTTCAGTAATAGTAATTGACTTATCAAGGCTTCTACTTCCTCCTGATAACAAAAGAGGGCATGGAGACAGGAGCTGTGGCCCACTGCATAAAGTTTTGTTTGGGAAATTTCCATCCTGAATCTTACGTTGAAGTTGGGGTTTCTCTGCTTCTGATCCAGCTTCCTGCTAATGCAAGGAGAAGGCACATAAGATGGCTCAAGTTCTAGGGTACCTGACACACACATGAGACCTAGTGAAATTTTAGAGATACTGGCCTCAACCTGGCCCAGCATTGTTGGTTGCAGTCATTTGGAAGAGTACACCAGCTCATGGAAAATCTCTCTCCTTCTCTCTCTCTGTCTCTCAAATGAGGAAGAATAAAGATTTAAAAATAGTTAAATGGAGTAGGGCCCGGCGTGACAGCCTAGTGGCTAAAGTCCTCGCCTTGAACATACTGGGATTCCATAAGGTTGCTGGTTCTAATTCCAGCAGCCCTGCTTCCCATCCAGCTTCCTAGTTGTGGCCTGGGAAAGCAATTGATGGCCCAAAGCCTTGGGATCCTGCACCTGTGTGGGAGACCCTAAAGAATCTCCTGGCATTCCTGGCTCTGAATTGGCTTAGCTCCTTCAACTCTAGCCATTGTGACCACTTGGGGAGTGAACCATCAGACAGAAGATTGTCTGCTGTCTCCCCTCCTCTCTGTATATCTGACTTTCCAATAAATATAGAGAAAACTTTAATAAATAAAATTAGGTAAAATATCTTGTTCTTTTAAAAATATATATTTAAGGCCTGACACAATGGCTCTATTGGCCAATCCTCCCTTCTCAAATCCTGTGATCCATGTGGGCCCCGCTTAGTATTCTGGCTGGTCTTCTTCTCATCCAGTTCCCTGCTTTTAGCCTGTGAAAGTAGTGGAGGATGTCCCAAATCCTCAGGACTCTGGACACACTGGGAGGCTCCTGGCTCCTGGCTTGAGTTCAGTTCAGTTGCAGTCATTGTGGCTACTTCGGAAGTGAACTAGTAGAAGAAAGATCTAACTCTGTCTATCCTTCCTTCTGTTAATCTGCCTTTTCAATAAACATTGATAAATCTATTAAAATTTAAAATATATAATTCAATTTGAATGGTAAGCAGACATTTTCTTCCACCAGTTCCAAATATTTTTTTTCATATTTTTACAAAATTGCTTTCAAGGGCCTGGCACGATAGCCTAGTGGCTAAAGTCCTCACCTGCATGTGTCATGTGGATCCCATGTGGGCACCAGGCAGTTCTGTTTCCTGTCCCAGCAGTCCCACTTCTCGTACAGCTCCTTGCGTGAGACCTTGGGAAAGCAGTCAAGGACAGCCCATAGCCTTGGGACCCTGCACCCGCGTGGGAGACCCATAAGAGGCTCTGGGCTCCTGGCTTCAGATCAGCTCAGCTCCAGCCATTGCAGCCACTTGGGGAGTGAATCCACAGATGGAAGATCTTGCTCTCTGTCTTCCCTCCTCTCTGTATATCTGACTTTCCAACAAAAATAAAGTAAATCTTTAAAAAACAAAACAAAATTGCTTTCTATAGCTTAAAATGCCATTATATTGCTTTTTAAATATTTATTTTTTATTGGAATGTCAGATTTACAGAGAGATGGAGACAGAAATGTCTGCTAGCTTACTCCTCAAGTGACTACAATGGCCAGTTCTGAGCTGATCTGAGGTCAGGAGCCATTAACCAGGAACCTCTTCTGCATCTCGCACATGGGCGCAGGGTCCTAAGTCTTTGCCATTCTCAACTGCTTTTCCAGGCTACAAACAGGCAGCTGGATATGAAGTGGAGGATCTTGGAAATGAACCAGTGCCCTTATAGGATCCTGACACATGCAAGGTGAGGACTTTTAGCTTCTAGGCTACTGTGCAGGGCCCATGAAATTGTATTTCTTACCTGATGACTGCTTTTTGCTTATATTTTACGTGAGAAGGAATGGCCATTCTAGCCTTTAGATTCCATACGCTCGTCTGCATGGACCCATGTAACCGCCCTCACAAACATTTTACATTTTAAAGTCCAATTTCACCCCCCACCAAAATCATGTTTTTGAAACACTCTATGACTAAATTGCAGTTTAGATGGGACCTGAGGACAAGGTAGATTGCAGAGAAGAGATCCAAAGTAAAGAAATCTCCAAGAATTTAGGTAGAGCCTCAACCCTAAACATAATTTAAAAAATCATAGTACATGTTTTACTGAATATAAGAATGTGGTAGTTACAAAAATTTTCTATGCATGCGTGCACACACACACACCCACATAACACACACCCCTTAAAGAACAATCTGTGGCAAGTGAATAATGCTAAATGTAAATTAGGGAGTCTTTAAAAGGTTGTCTAAACCTTTCGATGTAAATGAAATAATAGCTAATGATGATGAGAGTTTCACAGAATCACCAATATATTAGACAAGAGATACTCGTGGTAAGCCTTTTCAGAGATCACCACAGTCTAATCTTCAAAACCCTGAGATCAGCGCAAACACAATGGAACTGCAAGAGGAAGAACTGAACTCACCTGAGCACAAGCAGCTTCATCTTTACATTCCTGAAAATCTACAGATGTCAACAAGGAGGCATTTTTCCCACAGCTCTCCTGGCTGATGAGTGTGTCTGCATAGTTGGGCTGAGGGAAGATGAGGTGACTCTTTCTGGAGTCTGTGGTCAGGGACACCTCATGTGAGTAGGTCTGCAGGAAAGCCTGTACCCCATCAATGCCCACCAAGTGTGAGGCTGGCATGCCTGACAACCCATCACCTGCAGAATGCAGGAGGCGGGAGTGGTGCCAGCGCCTCAGCCTGAGTGCCAGCAGCACAATCACAAAGGCCAGGAAGACACACGACACTGTAGCTACTGCCACCACCAGGTACAGAGTCAGGTCTGCCTCATCAGCTTCCACTGAAGGCTTGAGGCTGCCCAGGTCAGCCAGCACTGCGGGGATGCTGTCAGCCACGGCCACTGTGAGCGTGACAGTGGCCGAGAGAGGCGGCTGCCCGTGGTCCTGGACGGCCACCACCAGGCTCTGCTTCAGTGCATCTCTGTCCAGCAGGGCCCGTGCTGTGCGCACCTCGCCCGTGTGCAGCCCCACAGAGAACAGCCCTGGCTCGCTGGCCTTGAGCAGCCGGTAGGACAGCCAGGCATTCTGGCCAGAGTCCCTGTCTACTGCCACCACCTTGGTCACCAGATAGCCAGGTTCTGCAGAGCGTGGTGCCAGCTCCACGCCTGTGGATCCATCGGTGGGGAGGGTGGGGTAGAGGATCTCAGGGGCATTGTCATTCTGGTCCAGCACGAAGATGGTGAGGGAGGCATTGCTGCTGAGAGGTGGGTCCCCGCTGTCACTGGCTGTCACCCAGAGCTGCAGTTCTCTCAAGTGCTCATAGTCAAAGGGCTGCAGTGCATATAGGATTCCAGTGTCAGAGTTGATAGAGACGTAGGTGGACAGAGGCACCCCGGATATGGTGTCTTCCATTACAGAGTAAGTGATCTGTGCATTCTCTTGGCTGTCGGGGTCCTGTGCTGTCACCGAGAAAATGGAGGCACCCCTGGGGTTGTTCTCGGGGATATAGGCGGAGTATGAGGCACGAGGGAAGGCAGGTGGGTTGTCGTTGGTGTCAGCTACCATCAGGCTGATGTGGGTTTCAGTAGCCAGAGGCGGGGTTCCCAGATCTGAGACTACCACGGTGATTTTGTAGCTAGAGACCTCTTCTCGATCCAAGTCTTTCCATGTCACTAATCGATAGTAGTTATCGACTGATTTCTCCAATTTAAAAGGCAATTGGTCACCTACATGACACACAACTTGACCATTCTTCCCCGAGTCTCGGTCATGCACATTCAAGAAGGCAATCACTGTTCCTGGAGGAGAACTCTCCAACACTGGGCTAAGAAGAGAAGTGATGGTCACTTCCGGTCTGTTGTCATTTACATCTTCCACAGAGATCAGCACTTTGGTCCTCCCCAGAAGTCCCCCACCATCTTCAGCCTGTATTTCCATTTCATAGAAGGAACATTCTTCATAATCAAGGCTTTTTGCGATTGATATTTCTCCAGTAGTTTCATTAAGCACAAAAAACGGGGAATGTTGCGCATTAATTTTCCAGAATTTATACACCACCTTCCCGTTGGCTCCCTCGTCTGGGTCGCTGGCTCTCACGGCAAGCAGCTGAGTGCCCTGGGGCACGTTCTCAGGCACTTTGACCCGGTAGGTCGGCTGAGCAAACACCGGGGCGTTGTCGTTTGTATCCAGCACGGTCACGCGAATGTGCGCGGTGCTGGAGCGCCGTGGCTCGCCACCATCCAGGGCGGTGAGGATCAGGTGGTGGACGGCCTCCTGCTCGCGGTCCAAGGCGCGCTCCAGCACCAGCTCGGGCCGGACAGCCCCATCGTCTCCGTTTTGCACGTCCAGGGAGAAGTGCAGATTGGAACTGAGCTGGTAGCTCTGCAGGGAGTTCACGCCCACATCCGGGTCCACAGCCTCAGGCAGTGGATAACGCGCGCCAGGAGCAGCGATTTCATTAATTTTTACTTCCAGATTCTCAGCCTGGAACTGTGGCTTATTATCATTGATATCAGTTATCTCTATTTCTATCCCAAAGAGTTGTCCTCTATCCTCATCCAGGATGTTAATATTCAGCACGCACCGCGCGCTCTGGGCACAGAGCTCCTCGCGGTCTACCCTGCCCGCCGTGACCAAGCTGCCGCTGCGCGCGTTCAGAGCGAACAGCTGCGCCCTACCTCGGGAGACGATGCGGACTCCATGCTTTGATAGCTGCCGCGGCTCCAGCCCCAGGTCCTTGGAGATATTCCCCACGAAATAGCCTTTGTCCGTCTCCTCTGGCACTGAGTAGCGGATCTGCCCGGTTCCCATCTCCCACAGCGTCCCCAGCAGCACCCACAGCAGCGTCAGCTTGCAGCGTCCTCTGTGATCCTGTGGAGTTGCCATTGTTCTGCTACTCACTTCTCTCAGAATCTTCGCTGGGCATGAATGTCTTGTTTTACCTCTGTGTTACAGTCTCAAAGAGCATCACCTTAGGGAAAGCTGAAGTGCTCCGAATTAAGCAGGGAGATAACGCTGCTGTGCTGGCCGGTTCTTTTGTGAGGTCTGTGTTCTGCGTATCTGATAGCAGTCCAGTTGCATTATTTTTCCTAGTAGGTGAGCAGCGGCGCCTAGAGTCCTAAATAGTTACTGCACTTGGAAACACACAGCCACCGGATACTTTGCTACGTGGCTGAGATAAAATCCCACTTGCTTATTATTATTTTTTTTTTAAACTATTTGTCTCCAAACTCATTTTAAGAAATTTCCAAGGAGTGTGAGGTGAATCAGGTGAAAGTTTTATGAAGTATTAAGAAATGATCAAAAATTTTTGTTAGCACTGTATTGAATTGCATCTTTACATCAGCTCTTCTAAGAATAAATGTTGTATTTTTGTATTGCTAACAATAACTGTAAATATCTCCAAAATGGATTACAAATAAAGAACTCTAGTTGGCATTAGAAATGAATACTTTTGATACTAAATACTTATTGAAGATGATTTTGTTTTAAGGTAATCACTATAGCAGCTTTCTCATTTCCTTGATTTAAAATTTTTCCAAATATTAACTTTATTAAACATTGACAAAGTTTTTGAATTAAAATTCTGAAAGTACTAAAGATGCATTGTATGTATTTGAAGTGGAGAGTACAAGAAGGAGGGACAAAACCAACACTCTTCCATGTTGGTTCACTTCCCAAATGTCGATAAATCTAACAATGGCCATTAAAATTGTGAAATTTTGGTAGGAGAAATCCTGTTGTACGAAGTCTGCTCAGATTATATTGTGTGATCAGCACAAATTACTGATATTTTTCACTTCAAAAGGAAATACTTGAAAGATACAAATAATACACAGCCAAGAGAAACAATCCTCTCCTTCTTTCCAGCAAAGAGAGCTGATTACATTTTAAAGCAGAGTTGGAGAGGGCACTGTGGCACATGAGCCTAGCTGCCACCTCTGATGATGGCATCCCAGGTGAGGGCACTAGTCTAGTGCCAGCTGCTTTGCTTTTGGCTCAGCTTCCTGCTAATGTGTCTGGGAGGTGCTCGTGTGTGGGGCACTGCCACTCACAAGGAAGGCCAGAAGGGGGTTCTTTCCCCTGGAGTAGCCCCACTGATTGTGGCCATTCGGAGGGTGAACTAGCAGGTGGAAGAATTCTCTATTTCCCCCTCTCCCTCTTCCTTTCAAGTAAAATAAATAAATGCACCTTTAAAGAAGATCTAACGTTTAGAGTAAATGTTTACTATAAAGTTAATTGGATCTTCATTAGCACTTTGATTAAAAACTCACATAAAGTATGGAATGCACAATTGCTAAGAAGTCAAGTCGAAGTGTCACTACAAAAAAGTATCTTTGGCACTTTGTAGAATGGTCAGTAGACATAAGGTCAGCTCCTAAGGGATGGTGAAAATCTAACACCTTGTAATAGGGCTAGCAAACCCCATTCCCTTTGCATGCACATTCTGTTGTGTACGCCAAACTGACTGGTGAAATTTTGTTGAAACTTTAGGAAGAGTCAAGACCATCTTTCTCACCTAGGGATAGTAAAATGATTAGACAATTTCTAATTATGTTGGTTTAGGGTTGCAGAAAAGGCAGCTATATGCTACTGGGGCTGGCACTGTGGCAGGAGGGTAAGGCTCCGTCTGCAGCATGAGAATCCCATATGGGTGGCAGTTCATGTCCTAGCTGCTCTACTTTTGATCCAGATCCTTGCTGAATATGTCTGGAAAAGCAGTGAAGGATGGTTGATGTCCTTCCTTGTGCCCCTGCACTCATGTGGAACCTGGAAGAAGCTCCTGGCTCCCAGCTTCAGATCAGCTCAGCTCAAGCCATTGTGACCATTTGGGGACAGAACCAACAGATGGAGATCTCTGTCTCACTCTCAAATAAAAAAAAAATGTTAAAAATTATATACTAAAATGTTTGGGAGTTATATTCAAGCATTTTGGCACCTCCTTTTTGGTGGGAAATCTTATTAAAAGAATGCAATGTACATTAATCCTGAAACAGACAACCTTCAAGTAAGAAGAACCTGCTTTTGGCCTTTTAATGAGCAGCGTGGACCTTCCACTGTGTAAATCTTTTCCTCTTTGTATCCCCTTCAAACCACACACACACACACACACACACTAACACTATATATATATAACACTATATATATATATATATATATATAGAGAGAGAGAGAGAGAGAGAGCGCTCACAATTATAAGGAACCAGTGGACATAACATCTAATTTGAATGCCTGCTTCTAGAAGCTTATGAAACAAATGACAACAAAAGGCATAAACAGAATATCAGTATGGAAAACATGCAAGTCAAATTAATGAAGAAAATACCTAATTGTAGTTGAAAGGATTTACTTAAATGACTTTTAAACCTGATTTAAACGACCTCATTTTATATTTATGATACAGCTAAGTTAAAAAAACTATTCATCAATTTCCACATAGTGGGAAAAACACATAGCTCTGTAAGATGGCTTATAGATACTTGCTCCTATTTCATTCCCCATTTCAGAATAGCATATCTGTGTTTTAACTCACTACAATTTTCTGTTGTTTGTCGTATGAACATGGACATGAGTACACGATGAGAAGTATGAAATCCTTAAGGGAAACTCACCTTTTGGGAGGTCGGCTCACTGGGATTGCTAAGAGGAAACAAGGACCCGGATGGGTCACCACAGAGGATGTCTTGTCCTGTACTCAATTGCTCACTAGCGCTTAGAAAATTAAACTCCGTCTTTCCCGTGTGGGCAACGCACAGGTTGTAGGAATAGGGCAGAGTGCCCTCGCTGTAGTGGGGAGGCATTCCGGGGCCAGATTTTGAACAAACAGCACCAGGCTGGAAGCAGCCTCCTATTGCGGAGCTGGAGGCGCGGCGCAGGCGCAGCGCGATGGCCAGGATCACCGTGAGCAGGAAGAGCACGGAGATGGCGGCCAAGGCCAGCACCAGGTAAAACTGCAGCTCGGCCTGAGGGTCCGAGGGCGCCGCGTGCTCACTCAGGTCCGGCGGCACCTCCTGCAGGCTGTCCGCGAAGACCAGGTGCAGCGTGGCGGTGGCAGACAGCGGCGGCTGGCCGCCATCGCGCACAGCCACCAGCAGGCGCTGGCGGGCCGCGTCCCTGTCGCCCAGGGCGCGCGCTGTGCGCACCTCGCCCGTGCGCAGCCCCAGGCTGAAGAGCCCGGGCTCGCTGGCCTGCAGCACGTGGTACGAGAGCCAGGCGTTGTGGCCAGAGTCGGCGTCCACCGCCACCACCTTGGTGACCAGGTAGCCGGGCTCGGCGGCGCGCGGCACCGTGTCGAAGAGCGCCGAGCCGTCGGGCGCCAGCGCCGGGTACAGCACGCGCGGCGCGTTGTCGTTGCGGTCGCCCACCAGCACGCGCACGCTCACGTTGGCGCTGAGTGCGGGCGAGCCCTGGTCGCGGGCCTGCAGCGTGAGGTGGAAGGCGCGCAGCTGCTCGTGGTCCAGGGCGCGCTGCGCGAACAGCACGCCGCTGTGTGCGCTCACTGACACGTAGGACGCCAGCGTTTGTGCCTCCAGGTCGCTGGCCACGATGGAGTAGGTGACCTGACCATTGGAGCCCAGATCGGGTCAGAGGCGCTGACCTGCGCGATGGAGGCTCCTGGGGGATTGTTCTCTGCCACGTGGACCACGTAGGAGGGCTGCTGGAAGACAGGCGCGTTGTCGTTGACGTCAGCGATGTGCACTGTGACGCTGACACTGGAGGAGAGTGGTGGCTTGCCTCTGTCAGTGGCCGTGATGGTGACATTGTACTCCGGGGTCTGCTCGCGGTCCAGGACCCCATCGGTTACTAATTTATACGTGTTTTTTGAGGAAGTGAGCATTTTAAAAGGCACATATCCTTCTAAATTACATGTGACTTCACCGTTGGGTCCTGAATCCTTGTCAGATACTTTGATCAAAGCAATCAGTGTTCCTGGCATGGCGTCTTCCATTACTAGGTCGGGGAGGGACTGGAATTTCACTTCTGGGGCATTGTCGTTTTCATCCAAGACCTCTATCTCCACCGTGCACTGTACAATCAGGCCTCCGCCGTCCCTTGCTTCCACAACAAAGGAATATTCTTTGACTTCTTCAAAATCTAAAGTCTGTAGGGTACTAATCTCTCCGGTGTTGGGGTTCAGTTCAAACTGAGGGATCTGTCCCGCTTCGCTGAAGGAGAAGGTGATCTGTGCATGTACTCCCTCGTCCTGGTCCGTGGCAGTCACCTGAAGCACCGTGCTCCCTGGGTGCACGGCCTCTGATATCCCCACCGTGTAGACGTCCTGGCTGAACACAGGAGGGTTGTCATTGGCATCTGTCACCAGCACGTGAATTTGCGCTGTGCTACTGAGCGGTGGATCCCCCGAATCCAAGGCAGTCAAGGTCAAGTGGTAGGACCTTTGCTTTTCCCTGTCTAAAGCGGCCTTCAGGATCATCTCAGGGTATTTACTGCCATCCGATTTCTCTTTATTCGCAAGCGAGAAGTGATCATTGGGACTGAGCTGGTAACTCTGCAGCGAATTGGTACCAATATCTGCATCAAAAGCAGAGCCTAAGATAAACCGGGCCCCTGGTTGAGCAGACTCGCTGATTTGTAGCTCAAAGGAACTTTGGGTGAATTTGGGCGCGTGGTCATTAATGTCCTCAACTTCCACGTTCACGTGGTAGAAGTTTAGCGGGTTTTCAGCCACAGCCTCCAGCTCCAGAGAGCAGGCAGGCTTCCTCCCGCAGAGCTGCTCCCTGTCCAGCCTGCCGCTCACCACCAGCTCCCCGCTCTCGGCGCGCACGCTCAGGTAAGGCTTCTCGGAACTCAGGCGCAGTTTGCGAGCAGCTACTCCGGGGACGCTGATGCCCAGGTCCCTGGCGAGGTGCCCCACCACCGTTCCCGCAGGCATCTCCTCGCGGATCCTGTAGCGGAGCTGCTCCGAGAGCGCCCGGCAGAACAAAGGCAGCAGCAGCAGCAGCAGCAAAGCAAAGAGTGCGCCAGCGCTGCTCCCTTTTCCCATCCCTCCACTCCCCTTGGGTTGCTCACCAGCCTGCGGACACCTGGCCACAAATCCCCTCTCTGTAGTGCAGCGATTCTCAGCTCCGAACGGGCTAGGCTTGCAAGTGCGGGACAGAGATGATTCTTGTTCGGTTCAGGAAGCCTGGCAAAGGCACCGGCCCGGGGCTCTGCAGTGGGGCTGTCCTGGAAAGCCTGGAGCGGCTGCGCGAGCAGAGGGCGCGGGCTCCGCTCTCCACTTTGGCCAACAGCGGCGCCCAGAGTCCACACAGGGGAACTGCAGCCTCTGCTGCTTGGGCTTCATCATTGCAGCACAGTGAGTAGGTAAACATACAAATTTGACTGATATAGCTATTTAATAATATTTAAAATGATAATGTTAGAGATATCTCCACCCAAATTTCCTGGTTTTCATGGAAATCATGTAGATGTGGTAGATTAATATGTATTTATTGACACAATGACTCCTACCTTCAAATTCACACCATGAAAATAAAGTGACTGCAACACATGGTTGGCCGAGACCAGCTCAGAACAGAGCCCTTTCATCCCTATTTGTAGTGTAGTGGATATATCCTACATTTCCTCTCTTGTGTCCAACAGTTTCCTTCACTTTTCTAGGTTCCTTCCTGCTGATTCATTTGAGTTCTTTCCAGAGAGCATCAGTAATACCGAATTCATCTTAAGAAAGTGTTATTTGTACATATCCCCAAGAACTCTTCTCTTTCCCCCAAATAGTTCTAAATTCCTTCTGGTAACATTATTTTATCTTCACTTGCATTATAGCAGGTAATTCCAGGTGAGAAAATGATATACCCTGAAACGGACCAGACTATCCTTCTCTTTCCCACAATACACCACGCATTTTCCTAACTGACCAATGAAACCTGAATCCTCAGTTACCAGGAGGAATGACGTTCTGCCTTGAAGCTCAACATCACTGAGTTCTAAGAGCAGCAGCACTGGATCTTGCTGTTAGCCTCCCACATGGCTGTAGGGTCCCAAGGCTTTGGGATATCCTGTGCTGCTTTCCCCGACCACAAGCAGGGAGCTGGATGGGAAACAGAGCATCTGGGACATGGATTGGCACCCATATGCAAGCACATGCAAGGCAAGAATTTAGTCATTAGGCTATCATGCTAGTCCTAGACAGGACTTTGTCTAAAAACGTTTATAAGCATTCAATGATGTTTGGTGGTTGGTTATTCTCTTTCCAAAAGTCTGATCACCATATTTTCACAAAAGGGCTTTTCCTCTCGAGAAGCTGGAAATATTATCTCTTACCAAGTAATTATACATTTGACCACTGCACTGTGTGAAACAGACTCACATTCTATTGCACAGCCCATTCTTTGCAAAATATTACCAAGCACATAAGTATTCTAGAAAGATTGTGTCCTTTTATTAATACACAAACACATCCCAGGGATCAAGCCTACCTTGTCATCACCTTTTATTGATGATAACCACATGAAGTAGGAAATTTTACTGAAATACTATTAAAGAAATGAAAGTAGTTAATTTTAGAATCTAATAATTTTTTTTTCAGAAGACTGAGTGAATACAATGGATTACTTGCTTAGGATTTGAGCAAATGAGATGGTTACTTCATAAAGCCAGCAAATGACTAATCTTCCACCTGGAGAGCCTCAGACCAACTTCACATACGTACTACACCAGTATGAGGAATCAGTATTAAAACATGTGACTGCCTACTTCACAAATACTAGTTACACCACTCCCAAGGGTATCTTGTTTGCTGTTATTTTATTGTTGTGACCAATGACCGTTAGAGTGGCATTAACCTCCCTAATCATCTTTGGTAAACATGTAATCCTTGAGGCATTCATCCAACCTTCCACTAACACCCCAACTAAAACAGATGTCTTTCCTTGAAATAGATGGAAACAAGGATGTATTCAGCTCGACTGGCTGAGGAACATGAAATCAGGAATCGGAGATAGAGAAAGGTTTCTGAATGAACAAAACTAAGACTATTCCACAGATCTGAGTCCTAGAGAGAATCCCAAGAGGGTGGTTGAGACGCGCTTCACTCGTGCCAACTCACTACACCAACAAAGGCTTACTGACTTTGACTTATACAATACATGACCTCACAAAACCAAATGAAAAAAGGGGAGGGAAGGTACAAAACCGAGATCCTCTACACTTGTATCTTATCCATGGGTCTTCACTGAAGATCTAACACTATCAAGTGCCAGGTTAAAGAATCACCAATGAAATCAACTGGTAAACCTGCTTATGCCTCTTTAAAAAATCTTTTTACCCCATCTTCATTTCTTTGCAAATAATAAACACATGTCAGCAAAATACAACTCTTTGTGGATACAAAAGAGGACCTGAACTCACCTGAATTTTGGGGGGCTCATCCTTGCATTCATTAAAATCTATGGATGTCAACAAAGAATCACTTTTCCCACAGATCTCCTGGCTGAGCAGTGTGTCCGCATAGTTGGGCTGAGGGAAGATGAGGTGGCTCTTCCTAGAGTCCGCGGTCAGGGACACCTCATGTGAGTAGGTCTGCAGGAAAGCACGCACCCCGTCCACACCCACCAAATGTGATGTGGGCACTCCTGTGAACTCACCACCTGCAGAATGCAGGAGGCGGGAGTGGTGCCAGCGCCTCAGCCTGAGTGCCAGCAGCACAATCACAAAGGCCAGGAAGACACACGACACTGTGGCCACTGCCACCACCAGGTACAGAGTCAGGTCTGCCTCATCAGCTTCCACTGAAGGCTTCAGGCTGCCCAGGTCAGCCAGCACTGCGGGGATGCTGTCAGCCACAGCCACTGTGAGTGTAACAGTGGCCGAGAGAGGCGGCTGCCCGTGGTCCTGGACGGCCACCACCAGGCTCTGCTTGAGTGCATCTCTGTCCAGCAGGGCCCGTGCTGTGCGCACCTCGCCTGTGTGCAGCCCCACAGAGAACAGCCCTGGCTCGCTGGCCTTGAGCAGCCGGTAGGACAGCCAGGCATTCTGGCCAGAGTCCCTGTCTACTGCCACCACCTTGGTCACCAGATAGCCAGGTTCTGCAGAGCGTGGTGCCAGCTCCACGCCTGTGGATCCATCAGTGGGGAGGGTGGGGTAGAGGATCTCGGGGGCATTGTCATTCTGGTCCAGCACGAAGATGGTGAGGGAGGCATTGCTGCTGAGTGGTGGTTCCCCACTGTCACGTGCCACCACTTGCAGTTGCAGGTCTCGGAACTGCTCATAGTCGAAGGATCGCAGTGCATATATGACACCAGTGTCTGAGTTGATGGAGATGTAGGAGGATATTGGCATCCCTTCAATGGTGTCTTCAACCAGGGAATAAGTGACTTGGGCATTCTGGTCACTGTCAGGGTCCTGTGCTGTGACGGAGAAGATGGAGGCTCCCTGGGGTTGTTCTCTGGGACATAGATAGCATAGGAGGAGTGAGGGAAGGTGGGTGAGTTGTCGTTTGTGTCGGTCACACGCATGCTGATGTTAGTTTCTGTGGACAGAGAAGGGGTTCCACCATCTGTGGCTCGCAGTGTGATGTTGTACACAGAGCACTTTTCCCGATCCAGGCTTTTTGCTGTGACTAGTCTGTAATAATTATCTATTGATCTTTCTAATTTAAAAGGCAGATTTTCTGAAATAGTGCACGTCACCTCTCCATTTATTCCGGAATCTCTATCTTGGAGGTGGAAAAGAGCAATTACTGTGCCCAGAGGTGCATTTTCAGGGATGGAGCTGCTTACAGAGGTGACGGTCACTTCTGGAGCATTGTCGTTCACGTCCCTAACCATAACCAAGACTTTGGCCTTGGCCAAACTCCCAGGACCATCCTGGGCCTGAATTTCCATTTCATAGGAACTGGCTTCTTCATAATCCAGGTCTTTGAGAGTCGATAACTCTCCTGTCAGGGAATTCAGATGAAACAGCTGTATAAGTTTTGGAGTTATTTTCCGAAAAGAATATGTCACTTCTCCATTTACTCCCTCGTCCAGGTCCACAGCTTTGACCGTGAGAAGTCTTGTGCCCACTGGTACGCTCTCAGGAACAGTCACCTGGTACTGAGGCAGAGAGAAGACCGGGATGTGATCATTCACATCCACCACTGTCACCTGGATCTGGGCAGTGGCGGAAAGGGGCGGGTCCCCACCATCAGAGGCCATGAGAACCAGGTGGTGAAACGCTTCTTCTTCCCGGTCCAGCGCCTGCTCCAGCACCAGTAGCGGGTACTTGACTCCATCGTCTCCACTTTGCATGACCAAGGAGAAATGGCGATTGGGGCTGAGCTGGTAGCTCTGCAGGGAGTTCACACCCACATCCGGGTCCACAGCCTCGCTTAGGGGAAACCGCAGTCCAGGAGCTGCGTTCTCCATTATTTTTACGTTTATCTCTTCTGTCAAGAATTTAGGAGCGTTGTCATTAACATCCCTTATTTCCACTTCTACAGGGTAGAGACTCATTTTCTCTTCCACCAGGATGTTCATGCTCACCAAGCACTGCGCGCTCTGGGCACAGAGCTCCTCGCGGTCTATCCTGCCCGCCGTGACCAAGCTGCCGCTGCGCGCGTTCAGAGCGAACAGCTGCGCCCTACCTCGGGAGACGATGCGGACTCCGCGCTCCACCAGCTCTCGCGGTTCCAGCCCCAGGTCCTTAGCGATGTCGCCCACAAAAGATCCTTTTTCTGTTTCTTCTGCCACGGAGTAGCGAATCTGCCCAGCCCAAGCTTCCCACCGGGTCCCCAGCAGAATGGAGAGCAGGACAATTCCCCCGTAGTCAGCGCCCCTCGGCCGCGCCGCCATTGTCCCTCTGAGCTTGTGAAGACAGAGAGCTTTCTCCTAAGGCGCTTCTGAGCCCAGGTGTGTCAGCACGGACCCCTCTATATTCGGAAGAGCGTTCAGAATCCAGCAGGAGAGTTTTGAGTCTGACGCCGCTTGCAAGAAATCTTGTTTCAGTCTCTCCTTTCTTTGTGCTGTTAAGGGTCGCTCTCTCCATTCTTCCGAACGGTGAACAGCGGCGCCCAGAGTCCTTACTAAGTTACTGCACTATATTGAAGCAAAATAAATGGATTTTATAGATGATTGCTTCATTCTTTAAAATTTTCCTGTTTGAAGCCTTTTTGTATACTTACAAGTAAATTCCTCCATTTTCTCCAGTATTCAAATCTTCTAAGTTATTCAACAGCATAAAATAAGTATAAATCTATTAGATTGCTAACAAGTGTTTAATTAAAATATTGCATAAGCTCATTCTCTCAAACAAATCCTTTTATGGTTTTAAAGGGAGTGTGTTATTACTGGTTGTTATTTGGAAAAAATACCAACCCTCATTTAGTCACTTGAATTTGAACAATTCTATCAGAATTCTCTTTCATTTCCCTTCTCTTTCCTTCATAAAACGTTTTTATGTTGAAGAGTCACTTGTTTGGAGTTCAGCTTAGTTCATTCCCAAGTAAAATTGTGGGTCTTTTCCCAGGTTTCTGTCAGGTTTTGCTCCTTCTCCTTTGGCAACTGTCTCTTAAAAACAAGTTTGATCAGAAATTGGTGTTTTTCACTGATGATCAGACAAGATCGGGTGCGTTCAGGGTGGTATGGCCATAGACTTTCACTGATGACCAAATAGCCCAATAGATTGTCAGGCTTTTTACTGATGCTTCAAAAATGCAGTGTTTCCTTAAAAGCTCAGAAGACTAATGTTAGTGATCTGTGTGGTGGAGAGATTCCTTGCTAAAACTTAGCAGTTGTATTTGTCAAGATGTTTAAGAGTCGGTCCATCCAGATGAACGAGCTATGTTTGTGAGAGTAGAATCTGATAGTTTTTCCATTCATAAAATGTTTTGTTTAAATGAAACGGTCACAGATATATCAGAAAAGAGAAGAAAATAAACTAACTCACTGTCCATGAGTGTTATTGAGTATTGCCCACGACAATGAATGTTCAAGGTGTAGCTTTAACAGCCTAAGGTTGGTACTATAGTAGAAAGCATTCATACCATTCAAGTTTATGAAACAAATAATCATGTTTGTAGACTATCTTACATATCTAATATCAAAGATTCAAGTTGTTTAAAATTGGAAATTCTTACAAAACCATCAAAGAATAATATCATATATGTTCAAACAAATCAGATTTGAATATGCAAGTGAATATAATCTTTTGATCATAAATGTTTTTAAATTGAAACACTCTACAACAAATGCTGAAGTACAACTATCGCAAGTTTGATTCAGAAGAAAATGAAATAAAGTTGTTGCAGTGGTCACTACTGCTCTCTAAATTTCACAATGTTACCCAAGAATGAAAAAAAAAATCTAAGTCAGATACTGGAAAGATCAGCAAGGAGAGATGAAGACTCAGAAAACCTGGAGCAAGGCCCCAAAGAAGTTGTTCAGTCCAAATTTGAGAAGAACTCGCTAACCAAGTCTGGTTTGGCAGAGCTATTTCTGATACATTCTGTAAGGAAGCTACCAAGTCTAAGCTTATAACCCCAGCTGTGGCATCTGAGAAACTGAGGTTTCTCCTGGGACTTCAAGAACTTATCAGATTGGTTTTAAATCACAACCTCAGGTAATTTACACTGGAGATACCAAGGGTATATGAACACGGCCAATCAAGTATATGTTTGAACAGACAATGTATTAAAATAGAAAAAAGAGAAGTATTACTCTATCACCTTATTTTAAAGACATCAATGTTATCTTTATGAAGACTGAGAGACTACAAAGAGGTGCTCATTCATCTCCAAGATATCATCCAAATTACTTTTTTTCATGTGCATACCAAATGTAAATGAATTAGTGGCTATATACTTTATCTACTATCAAATCATGATCTCAACCTCAGGATTATGAAATTGTGACTAAGTTTAAAAACTCATCAAATCATATAACCCTTGCATTCCATTAATTTTAGGGCCTTGAACTTTGTAAGAGTGCCAATAAGTCTCTCCTATCTCCTTAGCATTCACTTCTTAGAACAACTTTGACAATTAAAAAAACTTTGTTCCTTTCTGAAACAGTCAATTAGTCTATCAGTCAAGATGCCTGCTTATTGCATGGGAGTGTCTGGGTTCCAGTCCCAGCTCCAGCTTTAGACACCAGGTTCCTGCTCATGTAGATATTGAGAAGTATCAAGGATGGCTTAAGTAATTGGGTTCCTGCCACCCCCGTGGGATGGCTGGATTAAGTTTCAGGCTTGGGGAGTGAACACTAGAAGACAAAAGGCAATCCCCCTCAACAAAGATTAACTAAAAAGTCACTCTTTTCTACTCAGCCAAAGCATAACTTAATTCATACCACTGGAACATAATTACTGAAATCTATCATTCTTCTAAATAATAATCCTGGGGGTAGATATTGTGGCACATCAGGCTAAATCACTGCTTGAGGGGCCCATCTCTCATGTTGTAGCATGACTTCAAATCCTGGCTGCTCCACTTCAGACCCAGCTCTCCACTAACGTGCCTGAAAAGCAGCAGATGATGGCTCAAGAACTTGAGTCCCTGCTACCTACATAGCAGATTAGAATTCCTGGTCCCTGGGGGAGCAAGCCACCAGATAGAAGATCTCTCTCTCTCTGGTAAATAACTCTATTATAAAAATGATAATCCCTTCTCCTTTACTATTTTAATAAGGATCTTCTGTGACAGAAACCTCATTTTATCTAGGTTAAAAAATGCTGCATTGAGGGCAGGTTTGTGGTCTGGTGGTTACAACCTGGGACTCCTGCACCCCACAGCAGAATGCCTGGGCTTGAGTCCTGGCTCTGCTTTAGGCTCCAGCTTCCTGCTAATGAAGATCTGGGAGGCAGCAATGGCTCAAGTAGCACGGCTCTTGCTATCCATGTGGGAGAACTGATAGGATATCTGGCTTCCAAGTTCAGCCTGGCTTGTTCCTAGCTTTGTGGGCTTTTGGGGAGTAAGCAAATAAGAGATTTCTCTCTCTGTCTCACTAGCTCTTAAACAAAAAATTTAAGCCTATAAAAGGGATAAATTATTTCAACTTCTAATAGAATTCTATTGCTCATTCTTAATTATATCATTCAAATCATCTGTATAATTTTTAGAGGTGGGAACTAATGAGAATATGTTATACTTCATTTTCATTTCTAAATATTATTAAGCATAAAATATATGTGAGCTTTATTTAACAATGAAATAATTATAATGGTAATTATAAATATTTGTCCTTATAAATATTTGTTCATTATACTGCTTTGAAGTTTAAAATAACTTCCATAAAGTTATTTTATCATCTCAGAATTGGTGTAAGGTAGGTGAGATCATTTATTTTTATATATTTGAAATGCAGATAGATAGAGAGCTTTCTGGTTCACTTCCAAACACAGCAGTTGGGAGCCCGACGGCGCCTAGCAGCTAAAGTCCTCGTCTAGAATGCCCGGGATCCCATATGGGTGCCGGTTCTAATCCCAGCAGCTCCACTTCCCTTCCAGCTCCCTGCTTGTGACCTGGGAAAGCAGTTGAGGATGGCCCAAAGCTTTGGGACCCTGCACCCGTGTGGGATACCCAGAAGAAGTTCCTGGATCCTGGCTTCGGATTGGCATAGCATTGGCCGTTGTGCTCACTTGGGGAGTGAATCATCGGACAGATCTTTCTCTCTGTCATTCCTCCTCTCTGTATATCTGAATTTCCAATAAATAAATAAATCTTAACAAAAAATAAATGCAGCAGTTGGGGCTGCAGGTTGAAGGCGGGAACTAGCGTCTCAACCGTTACACCAAAAATTAGCTCTAGGTAATTTTTTTATTTAGATACTTTTAAATTCAAAATCAGAGACTGTGACTAATCCATATGAAGGACAGTTCTAGGAATATTATTCAGGTCCTTGAAACTAAATATTGAGTATTCTTGTCTCTTGGCAGAAAGGATTATTCTCTTTGAAATAGAAAACCTTTTGGGGGGGGGCAGGTGATATGGCTCAATAGGTAGAAGAATTACTGTTTGGGACACAGTCACCATCATCCCAAGTTGCATGGCCTGGATTCAGTCCTGCTTCCACTTCTAATACAGCTTCCAACTAATGCAGCCTCGGAGGCAGCTGGGAGAGATTAAGCGCTGGAGTCCCTGCACCTAGATGGAAAGCCTGGATGGAATCCTTAGTTGCTGCCATTGAGCTGGTTTAGCCCTAACTGTTGGGAACATTTGGGGATAGACTCAGCGAGTGCTTTTGTAATTAAGTAAATAAATAAGCAAGCTATTGATTCCCAAGTAGTAAATATCTGTCGTAAGTCTCCAATGCTCAGAAAACTATCAATTATTAAACAATATTGAAGAAAAGATTAAGATCTCGATCGGATTTAACAGAGGCTATAATTCAGTTTTTTTCCCCTGACTTTACAAGAATAGGCTTGTACAAATGTCTCATGACTAGGAAAGCATGAGGTGTATGAAATCCAAGGCACAAAGAGGCTTAGCACAGTGGGATAATCTGTTGCTTGCAATGATGGAATCTTACCTCTGAATACAAATGGAAGGACTGAGTTCTCCACTTGTAATTCAGCTTCCTGCTAATGCACCCAGGGGGCAGCAGTGGAGAGATTACCCAAATGTATGGGCTCCTGTCACCCACTAGAGACCCAAAGGGAATTCTGGGCCCCTGGCTTCTGCTTGGGCATTGGGGCCGATTGTGGAGTGAATCAGCAGGTGGAAGATGGCCCTCTCTCCCCGTCACACACACACAACACTTTCATTCTCTCTCTGCTCTTCAAATAAATAAGTCTCTTATAAAAAGAGTAAAGTAAAGAAAATACAGGATATGCATTAAGATGCTTTGTGAAATATCATACAATAAGATCTAAAAGAAATCCACCAATACAAAGGAAAATACCAGATCTGCATGATTTACTGCAAAACACAAGGAATTAACTAAAGCAAAAAAAGCAAAGCAAAACAAAACAAAACCAAAAAAACACAAACTTTTAGAAAAGCCAATAAAAATGTTAATCTCACCTGGAAAGAGGAGTCTTCTTTACAAAAATCTGAATCCGCCTGTATTAAAAGAGGCTCGCTTTTCCCACAGCTCTCCTGGCTGAGCAGCGTGTCTGCATAGTTGGGCTGTGGGAAGATGAGGTGGCTCCTCCGCGAGTCCGCGGTCAGGGACACCTCATGAGAATAGGTCTGCAGGAAAGCACGCACCCCGTCCACGCCCACCAAGTGCGACGCGGCCACGCCCGACAGCCCGCCTCCTCCTGACGCCTGCAGCAACCGCGACTTGTGCCAGCGCCTCAGCCTGAGTGCCAGCAGCACAATCACAAAGGCCAGGAAGACACACGACACTGTGGCCACTGCCACCACCAGGTACAGAGTCAGGTCTGCCTCATCAGCTTCCACTGAAGGCTTCAGGCTGCCCAGGTCAGCCAGCACTGCGGGGATGCTGTCAGCCACGGCTACTGTGAGTGTAACAGTGGCCGAGAGAGGCGGCTGCCCGTGGTCCTGGACAGCCACCACCAGGCTCTGCTTCAGTGCATCTCTGTCCAGCAGGGCCCGTGCTGTGCGCACCTCGCCCGTGTGCAGCCCCACAGAGAACAGCCCTGGCTCGCTGGCCTTGAGCAGCCGGTAGGACAGCCAGGCATTCTGGCCAGAGTCCCTGTCCACTGCCACCACCTTGGTCACCAGGTAGCCAGGTTCTGCAGAGCGTGGTGCCAGCTCCACGCCTGTGGATCCATCGGTGGGGAGGGTGGGGTAGAGGATCTCGGGGGCATTGTCATTCTGGTCCAGTACGAAGATGGTGAGGGAGGCATTGCTGCTGAGAGGTGGGTCCCCACTGTCACTGGCTGTCACCCAGAGCTGCAGGTCTCGGAACTGCTCATAGTCGAAGGAGCGCAGTGCATACAGGACACCAGTGTCAGAGTTGATGGATACATAGGAGGACAGCGGTACACCTTGGACGGTGTCCTCGGCCAAGGAGTAGGTGACTTGGGCGTTGCGGTCACTGTCGGGATCCAGTGCATTCACGGAGAAGATAGAGGCACCTCTGGGGTTGTTCTCCGGGACATAGATAGAATAAGAGGAGCGGGGGAAGGCAGGCGGGTTGTCGTTGGTGTCAGCCACCTGTAGGGAGATGAGCGTCTGCGTGGACAGTGGAGGCGTTCCTCTGTCCGTTGCTGTCACGGTGACGTTGTACAAGGACACCCGCTCCCGGTCCAGAGCTGCGGTCGTCACGAGTCGGTAATAGCTGTCTACTGTTTTTTCCAATTCAAACGGGAGATTCGTGGGGATGGAACATGCCACCAGTCCGTTCACTCCCGAGTCTCGGTCGTAGACCTGGAAAAGCCCGATCACCGTCCCCACGGGCGCGCTCTCGGCGACAGTTCGGGTTCCGGATGTGAGCATTACTTCCGGGGCATTATCGTTCACATCCAAGACGGTGATGAAGACTTTGGCTCGGCCTCTAAGCCCGGGACGATCCCTGGCTTCCACCTCTAGCTCGTAGGAACTCGAGACCTCGTAGTCTAGCTCTGCGGAGGTAGAAATTTCTCCTGTCACGATGTCCAAGCAGAAGATCCGAGAGATCTCTTCTGGGATTTTCACGAAGGAGTAGGTGACTTGGGCATGCGCACCCTCATCTTGGTCGGTGGCGTTTACGGCCAGCACCAGTGAACCCACGGGCAGATCCTCAGGGACACTCACTCGATACACGGGCTGAGTGAAGACGGGAGCGTTGTCGTTCGCATCCAGGACCGTGACCAGAATCCGAGCCACACCCGAGCGGGCAGGGTCCCCACCGTCCACGGCGGTGAGGACCAGGCGGTGAGCGGCTTCCACCTCGCGGTCCAGGGCGCGGTCCAGCACCAGCTCCGGGTACTCGCGCCCCTGGACCTCGCTTTGCACGGCCACCGAGAAGTGGCTGTTCTCGCTGAGCCTGAAGCCCTGGAGAGAGTTCATTCCCACATCGGGGTCATAGACCTCCATGAGCGGAAAGCGAGAGGATGGGGCTGCGTTTTCGTGAATTTTTACTTCGAATTCCTCCCTTGAGAATCGGGGGGCGTTGTCATTAATGTCTGTTACCTCCACCTCCACCGAATAAAGCTTCATTTTCTCTTCCACCAGGATGTTCAGGCTCACCAAGCACTGCGCGCTCTGGGCGCAGAGCTCCTCGCGGTCTACCCTGCCCGCCGTGACCAAGCTGCCGCTGCGCGCGTTCAGAGCGAACAGCTGCGCCCTACCTCGGGAGACGATGCGGACTCCGCGCTCCGCCAGCTCCCGCGGCTCCAGCCCCAGGTCCTTGGAGATATTCCCCACGAAGGAGCCCTTCTCCAGCTCCTCAGGAATGGAGTAGCGGATCTGTCCCGCACCGGCTCCCCGCAGCATCCACAGCAGAGTGAAGAGCAGGAGCAGCTCTCTGCGGGGCTGGCGCCCCCGCGCAGCCGCCATTGGTGCCTTCTGAGGGATTTTCCTGCGATTAGGAGTAAGAATGACAGATCCGCACGCCCTTTGATCTCTTCAGCATTAACATCAGGATTCCCAAATCAGCAAAGACCTGATGCAAAGAGTTTCAAGACCAAACATCCTCCGGACGTAGGTGGCAGATCGGCTTTGCTGGCTGGATGCAGAAATCCGAGTTCCCTGGGCTTCTTTTGTCCGAGTTAGTGAACAGCGACGCTTAGAGTCCGAGCGTAGTACTGCACCAGTTTGTGAAACAGGCTTTTACTTCTGCTAAAACTGCAGGGCTGACAAGTCTTAAAAAGTAAATTATCTCTCCAAAAAAGTGAAAAGTCTGAAAGAATCTAAGGAATTTCAAATAATTCTATATCTGTGATTTGCCATGCATTTTTGAAAATAATCTCCAAGGATCATGGAAAACAGGATTATTACTTTTTTGGAGGGAGGTAGATCACGAATGATCAGATTATTCCATCGTCTTCCACCTTTCACTGATTTTCACTAAGAGCACAAAAACAACAAACAACTTTGAATTAAGCCAGCACAGAGCCAGCCATGACAGTGACTATTTCTGGAGCTTATTATCTGTTTTTAATCAGCATATAGATTAAGAACAGCCTTGATGTGGGAAAAAAACTGTATATACTTTCTAAATTCTTTATTCTATTGATTTGAAAGGCATCCCCACATCTCTCTCTCTCTCTTTCTCTCTCTCTCTCTCTCTCACACACACAGAAGGGGTGGGGTGGGGAAGTGAGAAAGAGATTTTCCATAGGACCTGGCACGGTGGCTTAGTTAGCGGCTAAAGTCTTTGCCTTGCATGTGCCAGGATCCCATATGGGTGCCGGTTCATATCCTGGCTGCTTCACTTCCCTCCCAGCTCCCTGCTTGTGGCCTGGGAAAGCAGAAGAGGGCAGTCCAAAGTCTTGGGACCCTGCACCCGCGTGGGAGACCTGGAAGAGGCTCCTGGTTTCGGATTGACTCAGCTTCAGCCCTTGTGTCTGGAGTGAACCAGAGGATGGGACATCCTCTCTGTCTTTCCTCTCTGTAAATCTGATTTTGCAACAAAAATAGATCTTTTAAAAAAATCTTTCATATACTGCTTTACTACTCAAATGTGCATAATAGTTAGGGTTGGCCTAGGCCAGAACCAGGCACTCAATCTGGGTCTTCCACCTGGGAAACAATGACGCTAACACTGCAGGAGAGTGGCAGGTTGCTCCTGTCAGTGGCCATGGTGGTGACACTGTACTCCAGGGTTGGCTCTCAGTCAGGACTCCATCTGTCACCAGCTGTATGTGTTTTTCATATCTTGAATTAATTTGAATGGTAGCCTCCCTTTGAGTTGGCAAAGGACTTCCCCATGCAAGCCAGAGTATGGATCATGCGTTTTGATTAGCACCATTACTGTTCCTGGCTCAGCATCCTCTGGGAGATGCTGGGACTCCAGATGCCAGGGTTATCCCTGGGCATTTGTTGTTTTCGTCCAGAATCTCTATTTGTATTTTACAGCATGCACTGTGCCCTCTGCCGTCCCTTGCTTCCACTCTCAATGTGTAGTTTGCTCTCTCCTCAAAGTTCAGCTCTGCACTGGTGCTAAGCTCCCTTGTCTTACTACCCAGCCTGAACAACTGTCTGGCCGCCTCGCCAACATTGATGAAGGGGTAGGTGATCTGGGCATTGCCGCCCTCATCCGTGTCCTTGGCTATTACTCTCAGCAGCGCTGAGTTGGCAGGCAGGTTCTCCCGGACGCTCGCTGAGTACACGTGCAGGGTGAAGCTCGGTGGGTTACCGTTGGCGTCGGCCACCATGAGCTGGACCGGGGTTGCATTACTCCTGGGTGGTGCACCCCAGTCCATGGCTTTGAGGACCAGGTGGTGGTGAGCCTGCCTCTCCCTGTCCAGGGGCACCGTCTGCACCCGCTCTGGGTAACTGCTGCCATCTGGCTCCTCCTCCTGCACCAAGGAGAAGTGCGGATCGGCGCTGAGGTGGTACTTCGTGTGCCCACTCCAGCGCGAAGGTGGCTCCGGCCGGCCTTGCAAGTTTGGTGCTGTTGTCGCTGAAGATGGGCGTGTGGTTGAGGTCCTGGATCAGCACGGTGACGTGGAAGAAGTTTAAAGGTTTCTCGGCCACTAGAAGCACGTTGCCTTCTGGCCACAGATCTGCTCTCGATCTATGCGGTCCTCACAACCAAGTACCCATCCCCTGGGCTCAAGCTGAAGAATTTCTTCTCCCCACTAACCCGGAGATTCCGAGCGGGCAGATTGTGCACGGCCCCATGTCCCCCGCGAGGTTCCCCATCGGCCAGCCCCGGACCAGCTTCTCCGGGATGGCACAGTGGAGCTGCCCCGGCCCGCAGCGCAGAACAAAGGCAGCAGGAAGAGAAAGGGCGCCGGCGCCCACACCACCGGACCCCGGCGGGCCCGAGCCTTTGCTTCTGATTCCGAAGGGGTGATCCCAAGAGTTCTTGGGGGAGGGGAGGTTACGAGTGAGTGTCTCGGTGGGAGTCTCCGACGTGTATCTCCATGGAAGGCAGCGGGCGAGAGCGCGTTTCTCTTCCTGTGCCGCCAGCTTCTAGCAGTTCGGCCCTGCGGACCCTCCGCCCAGCACTAGCCAACATCGCCACCCTGCACCGAGGCACAGGTGACAAACCAACTGCAAATAAAGGCTTTCGGAGGCAGTTCTCCCATATATGAATACCGATATTCATTCTTTCATTTTACAAGAGGTTTTAATCTTTTAAGTATTCTTTGTTTCTTCAGTCTGGTTTTTCATTTCCTTGAACTTGAACTGTATCCGTCCAAATCTAGTGTCTTTGACTTGTCCGAGAGCAGAGATAAACCTGTTCAAGTTGTTCACTGGCATTGTGCTTTCAGTTCCCAAGTTCATAAAGTGATCATAACAATGTATTTCCTGCTTAACTTAACAAAAATGAAGACCAAATAATGTATATAAAAGGATACAAATGATAGTGTTGTTGATGCAGGTATAATATCAAAATTCCTAAAATATCAGCCTGATACCATATGATGTTATTTCATTCTTCCCTTTTCTTCATAGTTTTTAGCTTTCTTACATTTCAGTATCTTATATATTATTTTCCCATGGAAAGAAGTGACATGATAGGTAAGCACGAGGATTAATGGTCCTTGTAAAATAGAGATATGAGGATAGTAAGGAGAGTCACTCGTTCCCTGGTTTCCAACGGCGCTCTTTTAATTAGCACAGTACGGTTTAAACTATTTGACAGATGATTATTTTTCATAGTACATTATGGCTGTTCTAAACTTGACTGTTTCTTTGTAGCTAGATTAACAAGGTGAGATAGATATTTGGGTTTTAGGGGGTGAAGCACAGTTTCTATAATTGTACAAGGGGACTACAAAAGGCTCATGCAAAGATGGATTTCAAAGGTAACATGCATCTCCCTCCTATGTTCTAAGCAATGTAGCCAATGTTGTTATGTTTCCTTGATATTCAGGTGAGTAACTGATCACCCCATCCTCTTGTTATTGGCACTCTTCCTTGGTTAATATGCAGTTTGTTTACTTGCTTCTAAAACTTTCCTGAATGTTTAACTTCATTTCCAGGCCAGAAGATTTTCCAAGAAGCCATCTTTAGCTTCTGCGACATACCATTGTTAATCCAAAGCTTGGCAGGTGTGCAGCGATATGAACTCGCCTCGCGATGCAAACCACTCACACTGCTCATTGTATCTGGGATTCTCAGTAAGCTCCCGTTGATGTGTTTATAGCACATACAAATTGTTCCAGAAAATTCCCATGCAAGTGATTTCCACCCGTCTCTGAATACTTAAATTAATTAAATTAAATTAAATTAATTTAATTAAATTAATACGAGCAAGCTATATAAGTACATATACCACTAAACTATGTGGTAAAAATAGTAAGATAATGAGTGTATGAGGATTGGACATTTTATTATGCAAAGCCTATTGGCTGTATGTAGAGGTTTAAATGATATTTTTCTTTTGTGTGAAAAAGTTCACTCAGGATATACACCAAAACTGATATTCCTTTCTTTAAGAAGTAATAGGAGAGTTTTCATGCAGGAGTGGACAGTGTCCTACCAAATACATGCTCTTGTTAATCATGGGGTACATTTGCCATTGACTGAATCTGTACATTTTGTATTGAGTTCAGAATTGCATACCTATTCTAATGTCCTTGAAGTAAATGCTTAAACAACAAAAATGAGGTAGCCAACAGTTACCAGTTGTATCAAAACCCTTCCATCTGGCTGAGTTATGCAGCCTAACATCTCCTTAACAATACTGCATTATCGTTTCCCCTCATTCATAATTTGCAGCTACTACTCAAGGTGGTGAAAACTTGAAAGGCTAAAACATATTTGAAAAAGACATGCATACAAGTCATTTTCAGCGAAGTAGATGTAGAAAACGAACTAGGTATGTTTTTCCATCAAACACACACATATTCCTGGAATTTGATACTCACAGATATTTCATTAAGAAAGGCCTATTAAAATGATCACATCTCTCAGAAATGAAATTTTAAACTTTAAGCAATTCTTAAGTTGAATTGATTTTCCTTTCTTTTTAAAAAGGAGGACATGAAGCTCAATACACCTTTCCTATCCTTTTGGTCTTTCTTGTTCTAGATGATTCATTGATTCATTTGGAAGGCAGAGTGACAGAGAAAAAGAAGGACACACACACACGCCTTCCATCTGCTGGTTCACGTTCCCAAATCAATACCTATGACTGGATAAGGCTAAACCAGGAGTCAGGTACTCCATCTAGGTCTCCCATGTGGCTAGCAAGAACCTAAGGACTTGGACCACTATTTGGGCACATTAGCAGGAAGGTGGATTGAAACCAGAAGAGCGCCAACCAGCACTCTGATATGGAATGCCTGCATTCCAAGCAGTAGGTTAACCCACTGTGCCACAATGCCTACTCCCCCACGTTGACTTGTCAAATACACATCTTAGATTTTTGTTTAAAAAAAAAAAAGGCAGAAAAGCAGTCAGTCCAGAGATAATGATCATGATGAATGATGAGTTACCACTAACAAGAAGCTGTCTTATCTGACACCGGAGAGGCTCTTGTTTCTCACAATGAGCATATGCATATGACCTATGTTATTGATATAAATTGAATGTAGCAGAGTCTGAAGTCTTCATGTCACAGAATAAAACAAATTCTAAAGTTCCTTCTCATTGATTTCTTTGCTCAACAAATACACATATCTAATCATTAAGCGGTTTAGCCCAAACTTCAGATTTTAGAATGTTACAGCCATTATCATCAATAGACATTTGACCTACCTTTCTGATATTCACTGTGTAGAAGTTTCAGAATTTGCTGCTAACTTATGCAAATACTGTACATTATCGCAATGTGAAAACGTACATATACTAAAATATTCTTCCTAAACAATGTGTTTCCCAAAGCACATTCAACTCACAATGCTCTTGAGGCAAATATTCGAAACAAAGCAACATACTGAACAAGTTGAACTAACAAAACCACTATTTCATGAACAGAAGAGCAGTTCCAAAGGATGCAAAATCTTCAGACAAAATGTTTATGCCTGCCACTTTTCTTTAAAGCAACTTTTCACTGATGTCCACTCTCAACAGCTAAATTTTCTAATACCCACAACCGAATAAAGAAGACACTAAGTTAGAATTTGAAGATAAAGCAAATCAAATCCAGCTAATAGAGCCAATAGAAACTTACTGTATGGATAATGAGCTCATCCATACTACAAGAAAACTGACCTGAATGGCTCCAGGCTCCTCCTTGCTTGGGTTTATCTTATCTGACACCAGGAGAGGCTCTTGTTTCTCACCACTGTCTTCGCTAATGAGCATATCCGCATAGTTGGGCTGCGGGAAGATCAAATGGCTTTTCCGGGAGTCCGTGGTAAGAGAGATCTCATGAGAGTAGGTCTGCAGGAAGGTGTCCACTCCCACAAAGTGTGAGGCTGGCACACCCGACAATCTCCCTCTTGAGGCTTGCAGAAGGCGGGAGTGGTGCCAGCGCCTCAGCCTGAGTGCCAGCAGCACAATCACAAAGGCCAGGAAGACACACGACACTGTGGCCACTGCCACCACCAGGTACAGAGTCAGGTCTGCCTCATCAGCTTCCACTGAAGGCTTCAGGCTGCCCAGGTCAGCCAGCACTGCGGGGATGCTGTCGGCCACGGCCACTGTGAGTGTAACAGTGGCCGAGAGAGGCGGCTGCCCGTGGTCCTGGACGGCTACCACCAGGCTCTGCTTCAGTGCATCTCTGTCCAGCAGGGCCCGTGCTGTGCGCACCTCGCCCGTGTGCAGCCCCACAGAGAACAGCCCTGGCTCGCTGGCCTTGAGCAGCCGGTAGGACAGCCAGGCATTCTGGCCAGAGTCCCTGTCCACTGCCACCACCTTGGTCACCAGGTAGCCAGGTTCTGCAGAGCGGGGTGCCAGCTCCACGCCTGTGGATCCATCGGTGGGGAGGGTGGGGTAGAGGATCTCGGGGGCATTATCATTCTGGTCCAGCACAAAGAGGGTGAAGGAGACATTGCTGCTGAGAGGTGGGTCCCCACTGTCACTGGCTGTCACCCAGAGCTGCAGGTCTCGGAACTGCTCATAGTCGAAGGAGCGCAGTGCATACAGGACGCCAGTGTCAGTGTTGATGGAGATGTAGGAGGACAGAGGCGCTCCCTGAAATGTATATTCAGCCAGGGAGTAGGTGACTTGGGCATTGTCACCACTGTCTGGGTCATGAGCTGTCACGGAGAAGATGGAGACACCCCTGGGGTTGTTTTCCAGGAGGGAGGTGTAGTAGGAGGCATGAGTGAAAGTGGGTGGATTGTCATTCACATCACGGACTTTCAGGAAGATGTGATTTTCTGTAGACAAAGCAGGAGTTCCATGGTCCTTGACGGTTACTGTGATATTGTAATCTGAAGTCTCCTCCCTGTCCAGGGCGCTTGTGGTTAGCAGGTGATAGTAATTATCAATGGACTTTTCGAGTTTAAAAGGCAGGTTGCTGGGGACAGAGCATTCAATTTCACCATTCTCTGCAGAATCAGCATCATGCACACTGAACAGTGCGATCAAGGTCCCAGGAAGGCAGTCCTCAGCCACAGAACTGGTGAGAGAGGTGAGGATCACTTCGGGGACATTGTCATTCACGTCTTGGACTGTGATCAGCACTTTGGCGCTGGTCAGAAGGGCGCCTCCATCCTGGGCTACCACTTCCATGCGGTAGAAACTGGTTTTTTCATAATCCAGGGGTTGCAAAGTCGAGATTTCCCCCGTGTTGGGATCAAGATGGAAAGTCTCTGCAATTTTGTCTTCCTCATTGCGGAAAGTGTAGGCTAGTTTTCCGTTTATCCCTTCGTCTGGGTCCGTAGCGGTCAGCGTGAGGAGCTGAGTGCCCACGGGGACATTTTCCGGCACACTCACTCTGTACTCAGATCGAGGGAACAGGGGCGCGTTGTCGTTTGCGTCGAGGATCTCCACGAGGATGTGCGCGGTGCTAGACAGTGTGGGCTCTCCACCATCCAAGGCAGTAAGCAGGAGGCTGTAAACAGCTTCTTTTTCGCGGTCCAGGGGCTGTTCCAGCACCAGCTCCGGGTATTTCTCGCCATCATTTCCGGTTTTCACGTTCAAAGAGAAGTACAGATTGGAGCTGAGCTGGTAACTGTGGAGCGAGTTCACGCCCACATCCGCATCCCGCGCAAAGGGAAGCACCAACCGCGTCCCCACAGCCGCATTTTCATTGATTTTTACTTTTAATTCCTCATCCCGGAATCGCGGAAAGTTATCATTGATATCCATTATTTCTACCTCCACTCCATAAATTTTCATTTTATTTTCCACCAATACGTTGAAGCTCACCACACACCGCAGGCTCTGGGCACAAAGCTCCTCGCGGTCTATCCTGCCCGCCGTGACCAAGCTGCCGCTGCGCGCGTTCAGAGCGAACAGCTGCGCCCTACCTCGGGAGATGATGCGGACTCCGCGCTCCACCAGCTCCTGCGATTCCAGCCCCAGGTCCTTGGCGATGTCGCCCACCAGGGCGCCTTTTTCCAGCTCTTCGGGGACGGAGTAGCGGATCTGCCCGGCTCCCTGAGCGCACAATGTCCCCAGCAGCACAAGCAGTGGCAGCTCTGTGCAGCTCCAGGGCTTCCGTGGCTCCGCCATTGCCTTCCCTGCGGCCAATTTTCTTTCACTCTTGTCTCAGTCTGCTGTTTCTCTGTTTTTCTAAAACCAAGAGGAGCATATCCCCTGGCCAAGCTGGGAGTGGGGGCACAGATGCGCGGCTCTCCCCAGGATTTTATCTGATCTGTGTTCCATAGGGAAAGGCAGAGTCCGGCGGCTTCTCTTACAGCTTTTCTCCCATCTTGGTGAACAGCGACGCCCAGAGTCTTAATCAATTACTACACCAATTCTGTTTCTCATTTCCCTGAAGTTTAACTCCATATTAATTTCCAATAATTTTGCCATATCCTTAAAGTGCTGTAGTAATTTTGTTTATAATTTTCATGCTTTAATTTTGAAATAACGGAAGGGTGCCACTACGCTTCAAGTCAGTATATTATTTTACTTCCTCAGAAAAGTTGTATTTAATGTATCATCGAACATTTGCCCTTTACTTACCTTCTATATATTGAGTTCTTTTAGTTGAGATATCGAGATTCTTACCTTTGTATCCCTCAAGTGTTATTCAACCCCCCCCCCATGATATATGTATGAAAACTTGCCCATTGGTACTGAAAAAACACTAGGTTCTCAAATGTTTCTTTGCAAAAAAAAAAAAAATCATTGTGCAAATTCTATTCTATCACATGTCATGCGTAAAACGGTTAAGGGCCTTTGCTTCTTCTGAGGCTTTTCAGAAAGTTTTCTAGATTTTCCATCTATGAAAACAGCAACGGCACTGTCTCATCCCTGAATTGCATTACTTCCATATGTCTTACCCATGTTCCCAAATACTTGGAGTCAGACAGTGTACAGTGACAGGCTCTTGGAGGCGACAGATACAGTGATGCTGACCAGGCCTTCAGACCATCATCAGTACAGAAATCACGCCTGGCATACTCATCAGCAAGAAGCAGTGGGGGGCACTTTTGTGTTGGGACAGACACTGATGTTACCACCTTTTGAATGATATCAGAACAGAAAACCCTCTTAACAGAAAAGATGAAAGAGGACCCGAAAGAGGCCTCAAAGTGAGAGAAGCATTTTTTTTTTTTACCTAATGATGCCATCATAGGAAACATTTTAGCACAAGTTTAAGTGTAGATATTTTGTATCTAAAATTCAAAAACTCTAGACCAAAGATTTGATATTTGGCAGAAAAGGTGAGCACAGGTTGCAAACTGTTTTCTCAAAGATGCACTTTTCTCTGCAGAGCAGCTTGTTCATAAGCACAACCACATCAATTTCCCACCTTTGTTCTATTCACTGGTCATGGCAGACACACCGGACCTTAAACATCACCCAACCTTTAAAAATACATTTGGGGTGCCCTGAGCATTTAGCCTATAAAGTACTTAGCATGTGGGTCTTCAAGTCAGTAAGACTATATCTTTGCCAAGTTCTGTGACTTTGGGTGGAACTCTCCCTTTCCACTTTGTTTCCATAAACCAGCAAAATGAGGACCTTTAACTTGGAACTTTTATGAGGTTAATAGGAAATAGAAGGGGGCTAGTGCTGTGACACAGGGTTAAGTAGCTTCCCGTGATGGCTGACAACCCATGACACCCCTTCTGAACACTGATCCAAGTCCCAGCTGCACAAGTGCAGATCCAGTTTCATGCTAATGCACCAGGGAAAGCAGTGGGACAAGAACCAGGTACTTGGGCCTGCTACCACCCACAGATGGACCAGCCCTCCTGGTTGCATCCATGTGAAGAGTGAACCAACAGACAGGAGCACTCTATCTTACTTCATCTGCTCCTCCCTTCTCTCTGTAACTCAGCCTTTTGAATAAGTTTTTAAAAGGTATATTTTTTAAAAGAGAAACTAGAAATTACATTTGAGTAAGAAATGTCTTGTACGTGGAAGGAATCACACAGATATCTCCTAATAATAAAAAGGAAGAAATATAAACATGAGGAACAAAATGAAATACTTCAGGGCGTGAAGGCTTACAGCTACAAGTAACACTCTTCTGGTCGGAAGCCCACGCTGAAGAGTTGGTTAGATGAGAATAAGATAATTAAGGTAGAACATTGCTCAAACCTGACTGGAACCTACTACCCCAGTTACACGATGTGCTAACAAACAGTAAAATTTGGGGTGAAAAGAACTAAACCCAAACTCACATTTAATATGGTGTCTGACGCAGATGCAACTCCAGCATCTTCCTGATTCGCATTTGGTACCCAACCAGCATCGCCACAAAGAAGATCCTGAGGGGGAGCCGTTTCTGGGGCGACCGTGAGAAAATTAAATTCTGTTTTGGCCGACTGTGAGGCAACGCATAGATTGTAGGCATAGGGCAGAGTGCCCTCAGTGTAGCTGGGAAGAACTCCGGGTCCCAAGGTGGAGCTAAGCCCAGGCTGGAAGCAGCCTCCCATTGCGGAGCTGGAGGAGCGGCGCAGGCGCAGCGCGATGGCCAGGATCACCGTGAGCAGGAAGAGCACGGAGATGGCGGCCAAGGCCAGCACCAGGTAAAACTGCAGCTCGGCCTGAGGGTCCGAGGGCGCCGCGTGCTCACTCAGGTCCGGCGGCACCTCCTGCAGGCTGTCCGCGAAGACCAGGTGCAGCGTGGCGGTGGCAGACAGCGGCGGCTGGCCGCCATCGCGCACAGCCACCAGCAGGCGCTGGCGGGCCGCGTCCCTGTCGCCCAGGGCGCGCGCTGTGCGCACCTCGCCCGTGCGCAGCCCCAGGCTGAAGAGCCCGGGCTCGCTGGCCTGCAGCACGTGGTACGAGAGCCAGGCGTTGTGGCCAGAGTCGGCGTCCACCGCCACCACCTTGGTGACCAGGTAGCCGGGCTCGGCGGCGCGCGGCACCGTGTCGAAGAGCGCCGAGCCGTCGGGCGCCAGCGCCGGGTACAGCACGCGCGGCGCGTTGTCGTTGCGGTCGCCCACCAGCACGCGCACGCTCACGTTGGCGCTGAGTGCGGGCGAGCCCTGGTCGCGGGCCTGCAGCGTGAGGTGGAAGGCGCGCAGCTGCTCGTGGTCCAGGGCGCGCTGCGCGAACAGCACGCCGCTGTGTGCGCTCACTGACACGTAGGACGCCAGCGTTTGTGCCTCCAGGTCGCTGGCCACGATGGAGTAGGTGACCTGACCATTGGAGCCCAGATCGGGGTCGGAGGCGCTGACCTGCGCGATGGAGGCTCCTGGGGGATTGTTCTCTGCCACGTGGACCACGTAGGAGGGCTGCTGGAAGACAGGCGCGTTGTCGTTGACGTCAGCGATGTGCACTGTGACGCTGACACTGGAGGAGAGTGGTGGCTTGCCTCTGTCTGTGGCCGTGATGGTGACATTGTACTCCGGGGTCTGCTCGCGGTCCAGGACCTTGTCTGTAATGAGCTTGTAGTAGTTCTTGGAGGAAGATTTCAGTACGAACTCGGGTGTCTCTAGAACGCGGCAGTGGACTTTTCCATTGTCTCCAGAATCTCTGTCTCTCGTTTTGATCAAGGCGATCACCGTCCCTGGAGGCGAATCCTCGGGCAGGGGAGTGAACACAGAAGTCACAATGACTTCAGGTGCACAGTCGTTCACATCTTGAATTTCAACTTGTACCCTGCAGTGGGCGGCCAAATCTCCAGGGTCTTTCGCCTCTATATTCAGGGTGTAGCTCTGTGCAATTTCGTAATCCAGGTCGCCCTTTGTTTTGATTTCCCCCGTGATTTGGTCCAAACTAAAGAAGCGCTCCACTCGCTCGTCCGCATTATGGAAGGAGTAAGAGATGTGGGCGTTGCTGCCCTCGTCCTGGTCGGTGGCCACCACTCGGAGCACGGAGAAGCCGGTGGGCACGTCCTCCCACAGTGTGACGGTGTACACGTCCTGGCCGAACACTGGGGCGTTGTCATTGGCATCAGTGACCTGGATTTGGATCTGGGTGGTGCCGCTCTGGGGCGGGTCCCCGCCATCTACCGCCGTGAGGACCAGACGATGGAAACTCTGTTCTTCTCGATCCAGAGGACGTTTTAGAATCAATTCCAGGTATTTCTGCCCATCCAGAGTCTGTTTGTCCGCGAGATCAAAGTACTCGTTGTCATTCAGGTGGTAGCTTTGCAGCGAGTTTGGACTCGCATCTGAATCCAGGGCTGGGTCGAGCGGAAATGCGGCACCTGGTTTGGTGGATTCTCCAATTTTTAAATCCACATGAGTCTGCTTGAAGAGCGGGGTGTTGTCATTTATATCCAGCACTGTCACCGCTATGTGGAAAATATTTAGCGGGTTTTCAGCAACAGCATCGAAATCTAGGACGCACAGAGGCTGCTTCCCGCAGATCTGCTCTCGGTCTATCCTGTCTCCCACCAATAAGTCCCCGCTCTCCGGGCTCACAGTGAAATAGTCTTTCTCCGAGCTCACCCGCAGCTTCCGGGCTGGCAAGTCCCGGGCGCTGAGTCCCAGATCCTTGGCGAGGTTTCCTACCACCGAATTCTTAGCCAGCTCCTCGGGGACTGAATAACGAATTTGGTCCGCGAGAGCCCCGCGGAACAGACAGAGCAAAAAGGGCGACAGTACCTGCAGCCACGGCGCGGAAAGGCGCGGTCCTGCGCTCAGCTTCATTCTCTCTCCCTTTTTTCCAGGCGCTGCTCTGCTCCTTTGCCGCCAGGAGGAACGAGACCTTCAACGACGGCAGAATCTGAGGCTGAGGTACTTTTCCTGCTCTTATTTTCTGTATCTGAATCCCGTTGAGCCTTCTCTGCGGGTTGCTTTGAGCAGGAAGTTCCCCCAGCAAGAAACTCCCTAACGCGTCTCCGGTATCATCTCTCTTCATTTGCCTTATAGCGACACCCAGAGTTTTTTTCTGGAAACTGCACCCATATATTGTAAATGCCAAGAACCTTTTTCTTTTTTGCGTTGTAGAGAGTATCTATTTGTTGTAAAACATTTAAAAGATTCACAACCTCCAAAATCAGGGGATGCATGCAATAAACTTTCTCCTTCTCATCGCTGCTTTCAAGTGAGTGCTATGTTTCTTGGGTAATCCTCCCAGAACTACGATTTGTATAGTGCTGTGGATTTTCAAAATTAATCTCCTCCCTTCTTTCTTTATTCAAAAGTAGGCTGGCAATATAACATATTGTGCACTTTAATAAAAATCTGTTATATCTTTGAGATTTCTTCATGCCAGTTCATAAAGAGAATTTCTATTTATTTTCTACAGCTATGTAATATTATGTCATGTACATATTACCATAATAGTTACTTTCATTAGATCATCATTTATAAAAGAAATTAAGGATCCATTAAGCAACAATACATTTTACATTTTGTATTAGTTTACAGATGACCTTCTTCTCTAGTGGACCTTTAAGACATGTCCTACTGGGATTCTGGAATGTCACCATCTCTTTCAGACTCTGATTACATGGAAAGTATTTTTAGGGCTTCAGCATTTTAAGGCATTTTTCCTTAGACATGAGTTATGTCTCAATATTCACTGGTTATTTCTTCTTTCCTAAGCCAGTTAAATGTATATCACATTCTGTTTTATGTTTTGTTCCACAACTTCGATCAAAACAAAACTGTGTGGGCATGAAAATTCTTTTTCAAAATTTATATAGGAGACAGAGACAAGGACGCAGGAAGAGAGGGAGAGAGAGAGAAAAACATTTCCATGTGCTGGGTTACTTCCCAAATGCCCACAAAGGCCAGGGCTTGGCCTGGTCAAGCTAGGTACCAGGGATGTCACCCAAGTCTTGCACAAGAGTGGCAGAAGCCCCAACCCTTTAGCCATCACTACTACCTCCTAGGACAGGAACTGGCAGACAGCTGGAATCAGGGGGTAGGGCCTGGGCGGTGAATGCGGGCACCCTGATGCAGGATACAGGCGTTTTAACTGCCATAGGCTAAGTGCCAGTATCTAAACTGCTCGTCATTGTGCTTCTGTGGACTCACATTCTACAAGGAATTGCTAAAACTTCCAAGACCACAATATGTTGATTTGTACAGCTGTAAACATTTACAAATTTTGAATTAATGCACAGAGCTAAATGAGTGCACATCGCACAAGTGTTACACGCTTTCCTCACTCTGTTATCTGAGAGTGATTTAGCAAGACAATGATGAGATAGGCTTACTAAGAGACATCAGTATCAGTCCAGAATGCCAGAAACTCATCCGTTATAAGAGATCCAAATAATGAAAATTGCATAAACCCCAGAAAGCTTTTTACTTGGAAGCCATAATGAGTTTCAAAAGTGATGCTATGATAAGTGATTTAGATATTTTAAAATTTACTCCTACAACGGACTTCTATACTAGTAGATAAAAGGGAATGGATGATATTTTCAGTAATCACAGAACTGTATCTAATCTCTCGTATATACTCACAGAACAGAAAAAAAGAAATCCTGGCAAGTCCCAGTCGATTAATTCTATTTCGACAATAAAGTAACAAATATCAAGCATACACAAGCTGCCAATTTTTTCTAACTATGTGAGACAACAAACTGTAAAGAAAAGTAAACGTCAACAAAAGATGCTATCATGTAAAAGGAGGAAATACTAAAAATACTCAACACAAAATCAACAATATTTCCAGGAAGAGAAGCAAACATAACAGAACAGCTGTTACCAATATTGCTAGTGTAACCTATGCTTCAAAAATGCAAAAATAAGAGTGATATTTAAAGATGTAAATGCCTAAGTAGCTGCAACAGAAAATTCAATATGATGTAATGTCTACAGAAAAAAAGAAAAAACTCATACATCCTGGGTAAGCTACAATAAGAGAAGAACAAAGTAATACATGAAAAATATTTCCTTATATAATGTTCTGTTATTTATCACTTCTAAAATCATTGAAGAAGACATTGAAGGCAATGGAACATTCATAGAGAGGCGCAACTACTTCGGACCTTAACTAACACTCACAATAGAGACACACATTATGCCAACATTATTTGCTATATTAACATCAATCATAACTCAGACTCACCGGGGAAATCGGATCGCCTTTGGTTTCCAGTAAATCCTGAGCTACCAGGAGAGGCTCGCTTTTCCCACAGCTCTCCTGGCTGAGCAGCGTGTCTGCATAGTTGGGCTGAGGGAAGATGAGGTGGCTCCTCCGCGAGTCCGCGGTCAGGGACACCTCATGAGAATAGGTCTGCAGGAAAGCACGCACCCCGTCCACGCCCACCAAGTGCGACGCGGCCACGCCTGACAGCCCGCCTCCTGACGCCTGCAGCAATCGCGACTTGTGCCAGCGCCTCAGCCTGAGTGCCAGCAGCACAATCACAAAGGCCAGGAAGACACACGACACTGTGGCCACTGCCACCACCAGGTACAGAGTCAGGTCTGCCTCATCAGCTTCCACTGAAGGCTTGAGGCTGCCCAGGTCAGCCAGCACTGCGGGGATGCTGTCAGCCACGGCCACTGTGAGCGTGACAGTGGCTGAGAGAGGCGGCTGCCCGTGGTCCTGGACGGCCACCACCAGGCTCTGCTTGAGTGCATCTCTGTCCAGCAGGGCCCGTGCTGTGCGCACCTCGCCCGTGTGCAGCCCCACAGAGAACAGCCCTGGCTCGCTGGCCTTGAGCAGCCGGTAGGACAGCCAGGCATTCTGGCCAGAGTCCCTGTCCACTGCCACCACCTTGGTCACCAGGTAGCCAGGTTCTGCAGAGCGTGGTGCCAGCTCCACGCCTGTGGATCCATCGGTGGGGATGGTGGGGTAGAGGATCTCGGGGGCATTGTCATTCTGGTCCAGCACAAAGAGGGTGAGGGAGGCATTGCTGCTGAGAGGTGGGTCCCCACTGTCACTGGCTGTCACCCAGAGCTGCAGGTCTCGGAACTGCTCATAGTCAAAGGAGCGCAGTGCATACAGGACGCCAGTGTTGGAGTTGATGGACACGTAGGAGGACAGCGGTACACCCTGCACGGTGTCCTCAGCCAGGGAGTAAGTCACTTGGGCATTGTCTCCACTGTCGGCATCCTGGGCAGTCATGCCTAAGATGGAGGCTCCTCTGGGGTTGTTCTCAGGAATGTAGGCAGAGTAGGAAGTGCGAGGGAAGGCTGGCGCATTGTCATTGATGTCCACCACCTGCAGTGTGATGTGAGTTTCTGTAGACAAGGGCGGAGTCCCCTGGTCAGTTGCAGTCACAGTGATGTTGTACTCTGAGACCTCCTCCCTGTCCAGCGCCCTCTGTGTCAGCAGCCGGTGATAGTTTCCATAAGCCTTTTCAAGTGTAAAGGGCAGACTCTCAGGGACTGAACACGTGACAAGGCCATTCTCTCCAGAGTCACTGTCATGCACATTGAACAGTGCAATCACAGTCCCAGGGGGAGAAGCTTCCTGGATTGAACTGGTGAGAGAGGTCATTGTCATTTCAGGAGCGTTGTCATTCACATCCAGGACCGTCACCAGGACTTTGGTTCTGGTTCGGAGACCTGGTCCATCGTGGGCTTCAACATCAATATCATAGAATCCAGATTCCTCATAATCTAGCTTACCCAGGACCTTTAGGTCCCCACTCACAGAATCCAGCTGGAATAGCTGGGATATCTTGTCCCTCACTTTCCGGAAAGAATAAGCCACTTCTCCATTGGTTCCTTCATCCGGGTCTGTGGCTTTGATGGTGAGGAGCCTCGTGCCCACAGGCACGTTCTCACGAACACTTATGTGGTACTCGGGCTGAGAGAACACGGGAGCGTTATCATTGCTGTCTATAAGTGAGATATGAATGCTGACCGTGCCAGACAGAACCGGGTCACCTCCATCGAAGGCGGTGAGGACAAGCTGGTGAGATGCCTTCTCCTCGCGATCCAGGGCATGCTCCAGCACCAGCTCTGGATACTTAATCCCATCTGCCCCACTTTGCACGTCCAGGGAGAAGTGACCATTGGAACTGAGCTGGTAACCCTGTAGGGAATTCACTCCCACATCTGGATCAAAAGCCTCTGGAAGAGGAAATCTAGTTCCTGGAGATTCAATTTCAATCACTCTTATTTCCCTCTGCGCTGTTGCAAAGCTAGGCGCATTATCATTCACATCAAGTATCTCCACTTTCACGCCAATAATCCTCACCTTGTCTTCCAGGAGAATCTCCAGGTTTACCACACACGTTGGAGCTCTGTCACAGAGCTCCTCGCGGTCTACCCTGCCCGCCGTGACCAAGCTGCCGCTGCGCGCGTCCAGAGCGAACAGCTGCGCCCTACCTCGGGAGATGATGCGGACTCCGCGCTCCACCAGCTCCCGCGGCTTCAGCCCCAGGTCCTTGGCGATGTCGCCCACCAAGGAGCCCTTCTCCAGCTCCTCAGGCACCGAGTAGCGGATCTCTTCGGCCCCGATTCCCCACAGGCTGACCAGGAGAACGCAGATCCTCACCAGCGGGCTGCATCCTGGCTGAAAAGAAGTCGGAGCCGCCATGACAGCCTCGCTGCTGCACAGCCTGTGTTTGGGCTTTCCTGGGAGCAGAGCTGCGGAGCCCTAGGATCTTCGGGGTCCCACAAAGTATTCCTTCACTATGTTTTTTTGGATAGCTGTCGGGTGTTCGGAGTGTAGCTTCCGCAGAGCCTCAGAATCTGCAATTTTGCTTTAAAAAAATCTTGCTTGTGCTGAGATTCTT